CCAATCAACTGTTTTTAATCATTGTCTTCCGAAGCAGGGGTCCAGAAAACAGCGGGAGGCCATTTTGTGAATCCGACGATCAGCTGTAAATATCGAAGCACGGACCAAGTTGTCGAGCGGAATTCTCCCATTGAAATGCCTGTTTAGCGATCGCAAAAAGGCATCGTCCTGCAGTTTTGTCGTTCTGCGGGGTCATCATCATGCAGGGCACCACTGTATATATCTAACTTCGGGAATTGTAAAGGAGCATATCTTTTATATTAAAAAGGAGAATTAAATTGAAATAAGGGAGCACTAACCAGGGTAATATGGTGGGTTTTCTTTTTAGGTAAATTAAACTAGATATAAGGTTGGGGCATGGATCTGGAACTACTTTTATTAAGTATGTTACTAGAAGATCTTGAGAATATTGTTCACTATGAAAGCAATATTATGATAATAGCCAATATTATATACTAAAATACATAGATTAATGGTTTGAATGTTTGAAAGATGTCTGGAATTTGGGGGGACAATTGGGAAGACACTGAGATGTAAAAAATAAATAACTAAGCAGATCATGTAACACGATGTTTGACAAGCACAAATTAAATGTAGATAGAGTGAAAAACTAATAAAATGTATTTAAAAAATCTGTACTATTGACAAAAGCTTTTGGAATGTAAAAGGATAAGGATTTGATCAATGTTTCCTTCTGTTAGGTTAAATTATAGTTAATCTGATTTTTTGTGCATGTTCTGTTTTATTTTGTACTATTTTGCTCTAGTGTATAAGCCATTTCAATTATTTAGATAGACAGCCAAGAAAAAAATAATTGTAAATGCACAAATAATAGTTTCTGTAATACTGCTGATGACTTGAGCCTCCCTTAAAATTTACTATACAGTGGTGCCTCGCATTACGAGCGCTCCGTTTTATGACAAAATCGCTTTACGTTGAAGGCTTTGCAATCGCAAAAGCAATCGCAAAATGAGGTTTCCTATGGGGAAATTTCGCTTTGCGTTGATCGGTTCCCTGCTTTGGGAACTGATTCTCGCAAAGCGATGATTTTCGGCCAGCTGATCGGCAGTTTCAAAATGGCCGCCGGGTAAAAGACATGGCTCCCCGCTCTTTTCTGGGATGGATTCCTCGCTGCACAGGCAGCGAAAATGGCTGCGCAATGGAGGATCTTCGCTGGACGGTGAGTTTCAAGCCCCTAGGAATGCATTAATCAGGTTTTAATGTGTTTCTATGGGCTTTTTAATTTCACATTACGACATTTTCGTAAGACAGCGATTTCACTGGAACGAATTAACGTCATAATGCGAGGCACCACTGTATTTTCTGAAGTATTCCAATTACCTGCTTTGCTTTGCTTTAGCAGCTTAAAATGTGTTAGTCTTTATAAATAAATCAAGTTTTTATATCCAGTTATTTTTCTTTCTATATATGACTGTTAGGAATTAGACATTTGAATCTGTCTTTCAAAAGATAATTCTAAACTATTGCTCTTTATAGGATGGGACTTGTATAAACTAAGCCAATGGAAGCAACTTTTGCTGGAACATTTGGAATCTCACCTGAAAGAAACTCATGCTCTTGCAACTACTGAACCAGATGGTATCAGTCATATGTATATAATAATTTCTCATGTTTATTTTAGTCACAATCATAAACAATGGCTCTAGTATTCACTTCTCTTATTTGAACTGATAGTAATTATAACAACAGGATCACCATAAGGCTTGTACTCTGATACGGAGGATTAGGTTGCTGAGGTTGATTGGAAGAGAGCTAGTGTTATATCCCGGGCCAACAGTTTCTAGAATTCATCATTTTTAAATAGCCAAGAAAATAATTGTTTTTTTCAAAAACAGGAAGATAAAGAATTACTTTAAAATGTAATGTAACTACTTTTTTGGCCTTGATAACTAAAAAAGTAAGTAATTGTTTTTTAAAATCAACATTTTAAACCATTTCTTTACCTGTCTTTCCACATCAGTCTTAGCTCATAAATGAATCAAGGAAAGCTAAAGTGACATGGACCTTGGCTTGCTAGTACAAAGGTTGCTGACAGAACATAATGAAAGTATCATAGATTCTGTTCAGCAGTTTCCTCAGGATAGCCACTTTTGTCTTCTGCAGAGTGAAATAGTGAATTTGGGGCTACGGAGTTTTATCTGGTGCAAGCTTTTATCCAAATAGCACAATGAAAGCATATGTCAGATTACAACTGTAAATCGTTAAAGTACCACAAAACGTTCAATTGCTTGTGTCTAGACATTTCATGAATCAAATTGACTTCATTAGCCTCTCAGAATTTTCTTAGAATAGAGTTGATTAATTGTTCTCCATCCTGAAGGAATATTGATATGCAGAAATCTGTGTCTTCAAAAGATAGTGTCTGATCATATCATTTGATTTTCTTTGCAGATATTTTGACCTCCATATTATTTCTTTTATTTCATTGTTAGATGTGTATTATCCGTTGAGAACCCCAACATATTAAGTAGATTTAAATTAAATTACATTGGGAAGAATATGTAGATATTGAGACTAAGTGGTTTAGGTCTCTGGCTCTCGAAACAAAGGTTGGGAGTTCATTGCCTCCTTGATGGTGGCTTGACTCAATGATCCATAAGATCCCTCCCAGCTCTGCAGTTCTAGGATTATTATTATTATTATTATAAACAATTACAATCTACAGTTGTGCATGTATCAGCAAAAAGAAATACACAATGTTACCACAAAAGAAATGATTCTACATCTGTTTGACTTCAACAGAAAAAAATAAGCATACTACATGTGCTTGCTTAGGCAAAGCATTCCCTGAGTATGGTTCAATTAATTTCATATATTAGTTTGGCAACGGAGCTTTACCATTTCAGTTGTCCCTCCATGTTAATACACTAGCTTCAGTACCAATTATTTCTTTATACATCTTTTAATTTAAATATTGATAAATTATGCATTAATAATCTTTAACTATTTTGAATAATAAGTGAAAATATTTTTGTATTTTCTTTCCTTTTGTTTCATTGGTTTAAAACAAACATGAGATGACATAAGGATACAGACTACATTGGTTATGTTTTCGGTCCATTGAAAACAATGAGACTTGTGCTAGTCATGAATAACTTTGTCCCGTTGATTTCAGTGGAGCTAAACCACAATATGCAGTACTTAGAAAGTAATTATCTACATGTTTACTCAAAAGTAGGCTTCAGTGGGTTCAATATGACTTCCCACCAGGTTATAAGGGAATTGGATTGCCATCTTAATTCTGATCCAGCCTGGAAATGTTATGCATGCAGTGATTTCAGAAAGTCAGATCCTATTTTTATTGTGACGTTTCAATGCATTGTACTAAGGCAAGTTAATATTGTCATGCTTAACATTAAAGATCATGTTAACATAGTAAATATATTTCAATGTTTCTATGAAATGTGTTGTATTTGTTATGTAGAGAAAAAAATACAAGAATTAAATGAGCAAAGAAAGATTTTGATTGAAAATCTGGAGGCTGTTGTGCAAGATATACAAGAACTGAAAGCTCACATTTCTGAGGCCACTAGTACAATAAAACCCATTGGTGAGTACAAAATAAGTTGGTCACTAAACAAAAATCAGAAGTTGATTTTACTCAATATCTTTGTGGAGTTATTAATGATATTTATTACCAATTTCTTGAAATATTTTCAGGTCCATAATACATTGCTCAGTTTATTGGTGGTGGCTGGGGATAGTTTTTGTAGTAGATATGGACATGCCGTGCATCATTCGGTGCGGCCCCATGGGGGAGTGTTCCTTTCCCTCACCCCCAGCCAGCTTCTCCCTTCACCAGCCAGCATGCGCTGTTGTTCCCCTCCTCTTAGGGCATTTGTCCAGTCCTGGCAGGAGTGTCTGCTTCTCTCCTCTGCCTCCTCCAGCTGCCACCCACTGAGACGAGGATTCCTGGGGCAGGGATTCCTGCAGAGATGTTGCAAATCTCTGCCTTATGCTCAGTTTTTGTATTTATAGATAAACACAAATACCGAAAAATGCTCTATGCCTCCTTTGACTTCCTTCCACAAGAGTAGACTTGTGTCTAGATGGGTGGGGTATAAATTTAATGACTAAATAAAATGAAATTGATGTAATCACTGGATCCCCTCTCCCCAAAATTATCAGAATTTTTAAATTTAATTTTTACATTTCCATTCTTCGAAAAAGATTCAGGCCAGCTTTTGGAGAGAAAAAAGTGGTTGCTAGAATGTTTGGAGATGAATATGAAAAACCTGCAAGCGGCACAAAGATTTGCAGCTACCAATCCAAGCACTATAAATGGTAAGTAAGTTTGATTGTATATATCCGTATTCTTATATGGGATCTTTTTGTCTTTAATGATGAAACCTAAACATGAGTTTGGGTTGCAGAATGGAAAAAGGAGATGTCTTAAACCATATGAATAAAATTATAGGTAGTTCCTTTCCTTCTCACGTGTCCAATATATCCGAAGGATTTTCTTAATAATCACAACAAAATATACCCCTAGTAGCATATTTATATATAGAATAAAATATGAACTCTTTTGTACATATGTTGAATCTCATTTATTCTTCTGGTTGCCCATTCACATGAGGAGCTAAGAATAATCACATCCTACTTTACACTTGTGTAAAAAGTATGCATTACAGAAATGTATTCTTGTTCAGGATTTTCTGTATTTATCTATGGGAACTTTAATAGTTTTGTGGTCACTGTCTCCAGCTTGCCTGGAAAGTCTCAGTATCTTGCCCACAGTGAACATTGGATATTGTTGGGAATAAGCAAGTATGATAATCTGCTCTTTAAAAATGGCTCTTATAAGGGGGAGAAGGCCTGTAGGCAACTGCCCAGTTTAGAGAGCTGACTTGCTGGCCTCACTTCCACATAATAGGAGAAAGCCATTTTGGTGGAGTGCCCCATCCTGTCACCCTACAGATTCTTAGCAAGAGCACTAGATGGAGTATTAGCTGGGAGGCTGGCCATTCAGTGACTTGATCTGCTTTGTTGCTCCCAAACATGTAATGTATTTTTCTGTTTATAAGATGCCCCCGTGTATAAGACAACCCCCACTTTTCTAACCCCAAATTAGAAAATTTGACTGCTGTTTTCCCCGCCACTTCCTAAGCCCCATGGGGCTTAGCAAAAGGAGGGGGAAAGTAGCAATCATAGGGCTGTAGGCTTTAAAAAGTGCCATTTCCATGACAACAGCATAGCTCCCACCAATCTTAATATATGTTGCCTCTTTTGCTTAGACAAGGCTCATCTATCCCAGCTGTGCCATATTTTAAGGCCTTCTTGAAGCAGATGCATCACCTTAGTCTAACCTCGGCCTTAGCTAGAAGGGCATCAGAAATATGTGCCTTCAGATGTGACATTTCCTGCCTGGTCTTCCATGCAGATAAAGTGGTCCATACAGATGTTGTGTTTCTCCCTAAGGTTTTTTTCTTTTCTGCATTTTTTGCAACCTGTTTGTATCATTGCTTGAACACAACCTCAATTCTCTGGATGAAATGAGAACATTTTTTAAAAATCTCATGGACATCAGCTTTTTGCAAAAGCTTCTGTCCCTTTGTGTGCTGTGGGTGATCTAAGGAAAGTTCCCCAGTCTCATGACAGCACTTTGCTCATTGGGTCACTTGATGCATTTCTTTAGCCTAACCTTGCCCAAATTCTACCTCCTTTAGGCATAAAGAGCCATTCAACTAGATTTGTGGTCTCCTTTGCCCTCTGAGGAGTCCTAGATATCTGCAAAGCTGCTGCTACCTGCACTCAACCACCCACCTTTATAGATTTGATATGAGAGGCCATAAAGATACTTAGTTTGGGAGAGCAGTCTTATTGATGGTTCTGCCATTACTCACCCACCTCTGATAGGTAAACTATCAGAGGTGGGTGCATGTTCCACATAGATCACAAAGAAGAATGCCATGTTCCTTACCTAACTGTGATTCTTCAAGTGGTCATCCGTGGAATCACATAACTTGCCCACCTCCTTCAGTGTCTGTTTAGGCTTGTAGTGGACAGAAACCATAGTCTTTTCTCCAGGAGGGTGCTAGTTGCATGCAATGGAAGTTGTGGGCAGGGCTTCCACCAAAAAACTAGCTCAGCTTCAGAATGTTCCCAGATTGCTTTTGTGCAGGCACAAAAACCCAACTGTGTGTCTCCACAGATGGCCATTCAAAGACCCACAATTACAGGTACTGTAACTTATAGTGTAAATGCTCATGTACTTTGAAGCTTGCATTTAATAAGCATGTGTCTATTTTGCCAAAACATTTTTATGTAGAGCAAAAGGTTCAGGACCTCATTGACGAAAGAAGGCTTCTGACTGCAGGTCTCGAAGCAGTTATCCAAGATTTACAAGATATAGAGAGTCTTCCTCAAGAGGAAGTTGGAAAAAAGACCAGAGGTAAGCATGGAAAAATTACTTAGGAACATAAAAGTTTGTTGCAGAATGTTTCCTTCCTTCCTTCCAGCATTTGCTCTGTATTTCCTTTTCATTCTCCTCACTGATGGACACACAAAATGCCCTTTTCTGTTTAGGAAGTTTCATAATTCAGCTACTGGTAAAATCTATCAGTGTTTTCTGCCCAGAAGAAAGCAAAAAACTACTGCTCAGTCAAAATCTTACTTACTTTTAAAGGCGTTCTCTGTAGATTAAAACACTCCAGTAATATCTTCCATCTGTAAACTGGCTGCAGTCCTTAATTTCCTGTTCTTAACAACTGAAACACTGACTCCATTGTCATTTCCAAACCATCAACACTGTTGATATTGACAACATTGTGGTATGATTTCTGCATCCAAAATCTCTGCCAGCACTTAGAGATTCAGGAAAAATAAGATGGCTGATGCCTAAGCAAGCCAAAGGCCAGAAAGAAGAAGCATAAGCACAACCAGCATTTGGACTGTTTTGTTAGTAAGATACTAGAGGTGGAAATCTCGAACCATCTTCAAGGTTATTTTTACCCAAACATATCCTCTTTGCTGCTAACTGAACATTAGCCAGCGCTGAGATCCTAGTGTAGGCTTAGTTTTTGAATGAACTCCTAGCCCACAGTCCCTCTCCTCCACATTGCCAGCTATTATGGTCAACAATGAGTTATCCAGAGGCCTTTCTTCCAGGAAATATTAATAGAAATGTTAGCTTTTGGATAGAGTCAGGAGATTTTTTTAAAGATACAGGTTCTGTATATTTATCCTTCTTCCACATTACAATTGTAGAAAAGATTTTGGAAGAATTATCTGAAAAAAAGAGAATATTTTTGCAAAATCTGGCATCAAATTTGAAAGATCTGAAAGAAGCACAGGCTCTTGCAGCAGCCCAGCCAGACGGTATCAGTGGTAAGCATTTAAAATGTTTTGGTACTTTAAGGCATGGTAAGAATTATCTGCAGCAGATGAAGAATCAATGAAGCAATCTGAAAATTATTTTGGTATCATACAAGGAATATGGGGATTAGTTTAGCATGATATTTACTTTAATGTTTGTTTCTTAATATTTGATGAAAGAAGTTGAAATTGCGATGGGGTATTTCTGACAAATGATCTACAACTTCCAATGCCATGCTGGCTCTCTGGTCAGTGTAGGGGATGGTATATTTTCCAGACTTCATATTATTTCAGGGTCAAAAGTTGTTGTTGTTGTTGGTGTTGGTGTTGGTGTTGGTGTTTATGTTTTTTGCTGTAAAGGAAAGTTGCTATGGGAGAGGAAATCTTTCCCCAGCTTTAGGCTGGCCCGAGTACAGGAACCAACCCAGGGATTTACTGTCAGCACAATGGGACTTTGGATCTAGTGAAGCCAAGGTCACCCCAATCTGTTCCCAGAATATCCTGATTTAGCTCATATCACATTTAGAAAGATAAGTTATTCTTTCCTCGTGAGTCTTTGCATGGTCATGCATGGGCTTCCAAGGTGAGGCCACCAGTGATCTGTGTTAAAAGAGATTGCTTTATAAAGATAGAGGAAACATAACCATTCATTTTTTACCTTTTCTGGTCTCGTCAACATAGAAGGAGAGGGGAGGGTAGACCTGCCACTATTTGCTCAAACAAATAGCAATAATTCTAAATATGTAGGCCCTATACTTAAGGAGGAAACTTGGAAAAACTGAGTTCTTGCTTGTATGTATAGCCTACATGGGAGCAGACATCTCTTTACTTCAGGCTTGAAATTACTCACTTGAGCAAAGTGGTAAGGGATGGGGTAGAGCCAGCCACTCTAAATATCAATATAATTCATATTGTGGATTTCCTAGAGATAAAAGTTAAATAAAAAACTAAATGAAAAATATTTAAAGAGCAAGCTGTGGTTTCTGATTGTTTATTTCTTTGAGGATTATTCTGGTTGATCTTAAAAATCATGGTCTCTGAAATAATCATTCATATACAGTATAAAGTCGAAACGCTTTTCAGAAAGGGTTGTACATTTGTAAAAACTGTAACATTATTTATTGTCATTACTTCAGAAATCAAAAAGCTGCCTTTCAGAATGCATCATTTTTTATATTGAACTTTTATATTTTTAATTATGTTGTATTGTTTTGATAGAGCAAAAAGTACAGGAACTCACTGAACAAAGAAGACTTTTGGCTGTTGGTTTAGAGGCAATTGTGCGAGAAATACAAGGTCTTGTTTCAGGCAAGGTGGAAATTTTGCAACCCAGTGGTAAGTATGGAAGTGAAAATGCAATTATTTTTAAAACACAGTTTCACAGATTAAAGAAATTTTTACTTTACTTGTGTGGTAGAATGGGTGTGTGTAAGTAGTTTTGCCTGATAAAGAAAATTCCAAGCATGCTGAAATTAAATCACTAGATCTTGACGTGAAAAATATTTCTTCCCTGCCTCCATCATATCCCTTCACTAGCAGAAGACTTATAGTCATGTATTTCCCCATTTAATGCCTTCTAAATCATCTCCCTGTCTCCTAAGACCCTTCATATTATTGGGTAAAACATACTGAAACACTTCTATTAGCTTTTTAAAAAATTAGTACACAATCTAACCTTATTTTTAGCTTTGTTAATGGTTGCCTTGAATCAAATTTTAGGAGATAAGAATACAAATCTGACAAACAGTTTCTTATTATTTCAATTTGCACTGCCAAAAAATATTATGTTTTGACTAAATGAAGGCATTGTGAGTTTACCATCCATGCTTTCCTTGTGCCATAATGGGTTACCCGTACATTCTATGAATCTTGAAGAAACAGCTGAGAATGCTAAGCTTATAAGAAGGAAAGAAAGAATTGCGCACCTCTTCAAACTGATGGAATCCCAGGAAAGTCTAGCTCATGGTTGCAGAGAGAAGTGGGTTACTTTAAACTCACTTAACAAACTACAGATTCGAATTTATATCTTTATGTCAATCATTCAAGGCACCTCAGTCCTTGCCATCATTTTCTGTACTGCAGCATCCATATAGTATTACAGGGGAAAACATTCATGATGCCTTTAACACCTCTGCCAAGTTCCATTGTGGTGCCTGTCTTTTAATATGGCCTTCTCAGTCACTATCATATCAGTAAGGCTAGGTTCTGAGTATAAACAGAGTCCACTTTTTAAAAGAATCAACAATATAAATTGTTTTTGCTAACTGCCTGTGTGATGAAATTCATTTTATTGTAGAATATTTTAGGGGACTTATCCTGCTCTAGATCAATATATGTATCATTCTTCATTGATGTCTGAGCCTTATATATCTTAGAGAAGTATAAAAATGTTTCCCCATAGCTTCTTTTGTTTAGAAATCCAGCTATGTACATTTTCGTGGCGATATTCTTCAGTAACAGATAATTATTCTTCACCTCAAGCCATTAAAATAACTGATTTATGAAGCTAATATTTCTAAAACTTTTCCATTTATAGAAAGGGAATTAGCCAAGTTATCTGAGAAGAGAATAGTATTTTTTGAAAATATGGAATTAAATCTGGAAGAAATGAAAGATTTGCAGGCGCTGGAACGTTCTGGATTGCATGGTATGAATGGTGAGTGAAGTGTTACATTTTAGTACATTGGACTTTCCTGTACAGTATATCTCCTCACTAGTATTTGGTACCTGACAAATAGGCAGAACCATACAAAAAGAGCCATAACTAGAAAGTTATGCTGGTTCTTGTGAGAAGATACGACATGCAATATGATAATAAGAAAAGGCCTATAGTTAAATTAAATTGAACACAGGAGGATAAAGAGAACTGTTTACATTCCTCCACTACATGACTCTGTCTTTTGGAGTAAATGAATTTTGTATCGTTGCATTGGTAGAGCTGTGTGGTGACTATTTAGACATATGACCTCTATGATATTTAATTTGCGTCTTCTTTAATTAAACAAATTTCAAAAGTTCTTTAACAAAACATATTGGGCTTGTAAAGCCTGTCTGCCAATTTACTTCTGTGAAGAACAGCTTTACAATGTGACTAGTAACACTGGCATTTCTTTATACAGAACAGAAAATGCAACAACTGGCTGAAAAGAGAGCACTTTTGGCAGCAAACTTTGAATCATTTCTTGAAGATATGCAAGAAGCACAGGATGTTGACTCAGACCATATTGTCATGACAAGACCTGATGGGAAGTACAGATTAATATTCTATAGAACTGTTTTAAGTTATGTACTCAGAAACCCTACTGCTAACATCAGGGACTGACCATTGCTCCTCATTTAGTATCTCCCATTTTGCAATACCTTTAGCTGAAGATAACCACTGGCATCCTCCCTCACTTTCTCATCTACCGTTTCCCTGCTCCAATCACCTCTTTAAGCAGCTTTTCCTACCACAGGGTTCCAAATCTGTTTTCATGAAAGCAGATACAGATTTCAAGGCCTGTGGGAAGGAAATGTCATTTGAGAGCATGGTTTGTAGTGGATATATAGTATCTTGCCAAGGCTTACAATGGGGTTTTTTGGACTCGGGGACAATGAACAGATCAATGGAAGCTGATATGGATGATGGAGATAGTGGAACAGAAAGCATAAACCTTAAAATAGCAAAACAATAGAAATCCCATGCTGTAAAATAGCAAAGTAAACCTTACAATAGCAAAGTAGTAGAATTTTCATGCTCCTTCTGCTCCCTGAAAGATCCTGAAGAAGACCAGTGGGTAACTCAAAAATTCAGAAGTTAAACAGCATCTCCTGCAGTCTGGGTCTCTACTGAAGCTTGTTGAATTATGGCATCTCAGGTCTTTATTTTTTGATACCCTTGCAGTAGGTGCACATGTTGATGAAATATGTGATGCCAGTTTCTTGATATTTACAGTTGACTAATTGATAAAACAGTAGCAAAACATCTCAATCATGAGCAAACTGTTAACAGAAAAAGACATTAAATCACAGCGGAATTGAACATCAGAGCAATAAACATTTGCTAGAGCTGTCTAGCGAAGTGCTTCTTATAATCTTTGGCTCTACATCTGGGGTAAACAACTTGTATTCTCCCAAGTGACCTCAGGTCACACAAATGAGACTATCAGTTTCTTTCATTTGGCTCTTTCCCCAGGTAACCTCTAATAAGCAAAGATCACAGAGGGGAATATTAATGCATGCCAAACTAAAATGTCTTGCCAAGGCCTTCTGGATGGAATATAGGGGAAAAGTGTAATAATAGTGTTCGTGTCCATACATACAACACACTGCTTGCAAATAGGCTGTTTTTCATTTTCACTCCAGTGACTGCTGTTCTCACATGAGATGAAAACAAATAAATAAGGATTATGTTTTCTTTTTTTTCTTAGCTCTTAAAAAATGCAAACAGGGACTGTCAAAATTATTCAGCGTTTCCATTTCAGTCTCTGCTTTCATCATGGATTTGAATATATCTTGCATAATTCTGCAAATAAAGGAAATATTAAACAATGCTTTCAATTGTTGAATTTAATAATTTCTGCATTTGCAGAGAGAAAAGTTAATGATCTGATAGAACTTTCAAGACTAGAAACAAAACTGGATGAATTGGAAGAAGTAGAGGCTCTTTCACATCACCAATTTAATAATATAAGTGAGTATGAATTAGGACTTTCTTGTTTATACTGCTACATTTCTTCCAAGTTAGTTTAGACTCAAGGATCTAAGAAACACAAGACTTGGTTGTAGAGAACAAAACTTCTTTACATACACTTTTTCTTCACAGTCTCTGTGAAATCGCACACATGGGTTCTGTGCCTGCACAAACATCCTTGGAATCTTCTAGAACCTAAAGAAGTTTTAGGACACACCCTCTCCATCACACATGCCCCCCACCTGAGGCTCATTCCCAGTTCCTTTTTCGCCACTGCTGTTCCCTTTTTGCCACTAACATAATTAAATTTCTTCAAAACCATCTATACATAGTTGCCTTTTACCTCTACAGTATTTTTGTTCTCTCCTCTTTGCTTCACTATTCTCCCCCCCCCACAAAAAGTTATTTGTTTGTTACCATTTTTCAGTTAATGGCCATTCCCACCTTTTTATGGTTCATGGACCCATTCAAATGATGAGATGTAGCAATAAAATCTTAGTTTGGTATCAACCGAGGAGCTAAGGAAGGCATCTCATCATACTGACCATCCCAGTCAGCCTCCATGTCCCCAGTTCTGACTTCCAAGCACTATAACCCTGCCTCTCAGCCTCCATCAGGAAAGAAATCCAGTCAGTGTTTTTGATTTTCATCATATATTGGACATCAGGACTAGGCTTGATACTGCATTTGGTAGAGTGGTGATCTCCTCTGTTTTGGCTTGATATCCCACCATCCAGTAAGTGAGCTTGCCAGTCACCCATCTGTATGATTTCACAGAGGCCACAATTAAGAGGGACAGTTTATTTAACTGTAAGTGTAGTTCTTCAAGTGGTCATTCACACAACCTCTCCTCCCCTCAGTCTGCCACACAATTCCTGTTGTTTCTATCCCAATAGAAGGGGAAACGGAGGACTACCCTCAAGGCAGGAAATGGACATTGTGCAGAGGGCATATCCTAAAACAACTTTAGCCTCAGATGATTCTGAGGAAGTTCACTCAGGCACAAAACAAACCTATATGTGTGACCACAATTACAGGTAAACATCTTGTTCTTTTTCTTCTTCAAATAGTCTTCTTTTTCACTTTTTTAGGATCAAAAATACATAAACTAAAACAGCAAAAGAGGAACTTAATTGATAAATGGGAAGTCCCTCCTCTAGATGGCTATCCAGAAGCATATGTAATAGATAGTAAGTACAAAAATTGCTATATTAGATTATTAACAATACTGTGTTGAAATCAATCTAATTCATATCAAGTACTTCTGTCCCTTCAGTCAGTTATGCTGCTTCTTACAGACCTTCATCTTCTTTCTATATGATTTATTGTAACTAAATCAAGCCTACATCTAGTTGCAATTTTGTGCCACAATCATGCCAAAGTTGAGAACATTTAATTTTCATTTATTTTTGTTGTAGAATTATTATTTGCTTAGTTCTTTATTATGCAGATTAGATTGCTTAGTTTGAAGAATGTAAACATGGGATCATCTGGTTTAACAACCTCATTTTGCTGAAGCATAAACATGCTTTCAGTTCTAATTATGGGCTCTTTCTAAAGTCTGTTTCTGGACTCAGACTCAAAACCTGAATACAAGAGCAACGGAAAAGGAAGAAAATGAAGACAGGTCTAGAAATGGAAAAATATTTTATGATTCCCTCTTTCCTATCATATTTGTTTCCTTTCATGTCATGACTTTTTATATTGTACAGCTGCAGCTAACTCTGTTTTATTAATTCCTTGTGAGCCACTCTGGAGATTTTCTGGGTGAGAAGCAGGATAAAAACATGCTTTAAATATCAGATAGGTGTGTTGATACAAATATAGTTTTGTGTGTTGATAGACAGAATGGAAAGGTTGGTATAGAAAAAAGATAAAGATATCCAGCTGTACCTACATATATAATTACAGGCAGTTTGTAAATAGGGAATTATGTCAAAGCTTAATGCGAAAGATGGGATTGGAGGAAAGAGAACATCATGTAGAAATAGGAGTGTAGATCCTGAATAATTTGTAGAAGCAAGAAATCTTTGGAGGGCTGCAGGTGATGAAACTCCGTGCAGCATTGGTAACTGCACATTATTTTCACAGTTACATATATTTTAGGTGAAGGTTCCCCTTGACATTTAGTCCAGTCGTGTCTGACTCTAGGGTGTGGTGCTCTTCCCCATTTCAAAGCTGTAGAGCCAGCGTTTGCCCATAGACAATTTCTGTGGTCACGTGGCCAGCACAACTAGACACGGAACGATGTTACGTTCCCACCGAGGTGGTACCTATTTATCTACTCACATTTACATGTTTTCAAACTGCTAGGTTGGCAGAAGATGGGATAAGCGACGGGAGCTCACTCTGTTATATGGATTTGATCTTACGATGGCTGGTCTTCTGATCTTGCAGCACAGAGGCTTCTGCAGTTTAACCCGCTGCATGACCACGTCCTAGGCAGCTTTTAATTGAACACAGACTTTTTTTGTGCTGTGGTGTTTTTCTAATTGTTGTGGCTATTTTATTATTTTATTTTGGTTGAAATAACTTCTGTAGCTGCAGCCAAAGCTTCATACAGTGGTGCCCCACTTGACAATTACCTCGTTAGATGAGGAAATCGCTTAACGATGAGTATTTTGCGATCGTTATAGTGATTGCAAAATGATGTTTTAATAGGAGAAAATCGCTTGACAATGATCGGTTCCCTGCTTCAGGAACCAATTTTTCGCTTTACAGCGATCAAAACAGCGGATTGTCTGGTTTCAAAATGGCCACCCACTGTTTCAAAATGCCTCCCCACTGTGTTTAGGAAGGCTTTTTCGCTGTATAGGCACCAGAAAATGGCCGCCCTATGGAGGATCTTTGCTGAATGCTGAGGTATTTCGCCCATTGGAACGCATTGAACTGTTTTTCAGTTCCAATTTTTCGCTTTACAGCGATCAAAACAGCGGATTGTCTGGTTTCAAAATGGCCACCCACTGTTTCAAAATGCCTCCCCACTGTGTTTAGGAAGGCTTTTTCGCTGTATAGGCACCAGAAAATGGCCGCCCTATGGAGGATCTTTGCTGAATGCTGAGGTATTTCGCCCATTGGAACGCATTGAACCGTTTTTCAGTTCATTTCAAAGGTTTTTTACTTTTGCTTGACGACAATTTCGTTCTACAGCGATTTTGCTGGAACGTATTATCCTCTTCAAGCGAGGCACCACTGTATTTTTTTAAATTCTGTGATCTGCTTTGGAAAGGCTTCCTCTGAAATACAACCTAGAAATACAAAATAAATAGTCAGCTATATAAATGTGCAGCATTTTTCATCTCATGGGTTGTCTCTATAACAGTACTTCAAATTGCTAGAATAAGATGGCAGTGGTACGGAGACACCAGACCTAAAGGCTTTAACTTTTTTTTTAATTGCTTCTTTTATTTTTAAAGAGAAAGATAAAGAAAAAGCAGTGAAAGAGTTCCTTGAACAAAGAAAGGGTTTGTTTACTTATCTGCAATCAAGTATCAGGGATCTACAACAAAAAGGCATTATTCAACAAGGCAGCGTGCCTGGTAAGTACGTTATCTGTGGTCATTCTCTTGTTGGCTTTCTTTTCATTTTTCAAAAAGATACACCATTACAAAAGACTGATTGTGACATTACAGAAAACTATGAAAGAAGTCTAAATAAGTTCCTTATTTTTTTAAAAAAAAATACTGTTAACAAGCAACAGGAGTTAAGGAGTGAAAAATAAAAATAAAAGCCAGAATTCTCCTTGGGTATCCCTATCCTGCATGTTAAGGTTATGGAAACTGTACAGATTTGCAACTATATGAAGAACAATTGTAAAGAAGAACAGACAAGATCGTTCAGTGATCTAGGTATCTGGCTGCAGAACCAGAGGTTGGAAGTTCAGTTTTCTGCTTTGCCTCCCCAACAGGGGCTGGATTGAATCCCTAGGTTCCCTTCTAGCTCTGCAGTTCTAAGATTATTACTGTTATAACAAGAATAAAGAAAAATGTAACCATATAAAGAACAGATACACTAAACTTAACTGATAAGAGTCTTAAGAGTGAATGGAAGAAGCTCTATGTATTTAAGGGAAGGTGGTTCTTCCCATGTCCATACAGACCTTGCATGCTCGTGATATCTTTCTGATATCCCTCCAGAGCAGAGTCAAGGGTGATATGGAGGGCTGCAGGGGTGGCTCAGAGAAGGAAAAGGATTCTTGCACTTTCATGGGGCTGTATGGATGGAAATGAATTATCTCCTTCCGAATCCATGGTGGCACTACTTCTTCAGTGGAGGTACGGATTCAAATCTTAGTTCAAGTGGTCATTCTTGTGGTTCCCCCCAACACACTAGGTTATACTATGATATAGAAGTTCTTCTCTGTAGAGCTGCTGCTATTGAGCTGGCAATTTGAGATTAGGTTTCCAATTTCCCCACTTCCAAAGATATCTTTAAAGTGTAATACCACACTTACATGTTGAAGTTTAATTAGATATAGAATAGAATGGTGTTCTGGATACTGCCCTACAAATAGTTTGATGCTTGTGATAAAATCTCTCCTAGCTAGATCTCTACTATTCCTTTATAAAAAAGACAATAGCATGCATATAAATTAAACATATGAACAAATTGTTGTATACAGGACAGTGGGAACCATTGGGAATCCCCTAATTCTTATAATATAAAATCCACCTGTTACCTGAATCTATCAGTAATGAGAGGACTTTAGGTTACAAAGAGCCTCAATATAGTGTGGAACAAGTGGCACCACAGGCAAAAACAGCACTTTCTTGTTTTAATAGCCCAGAACAAAGTACGGTATCTCAAGTCAAAGTACTGGCTATTACCTGTAAAGCTTTATTTTGGCTTGGGTCTAACCATTTGTATTAATGTACTTGATGATAAACATGAGACTGCTGCTGAATAATGTATCAAGTGATTGCTCAGTTGCTGCGATTTGTGGGGTGCTTTTTGCATAATTTTTAATATGCTTTTTTGTTTTACACTTACTGATTCATTGATTGAAAAATCAGTCATCTCTATGAAGTGACTGCATTTCTAGATTATATAGTGTAATTGTTGGTATCCATAAAGAGAAATAATTAACTGTTTCGATATTTTATCCTGTTTTTTTTGTAGAGGACATTACTGAAGATATATCAGAGGAGGGAGATGTTTTAGATCTTATGGTAGTTCCAATAGATCTTTTGCAATCAGAAGCTGCTCCTTTTGGCACGAAATATGGACAGATCGGTAAGTATGAGGACTGGACTAAAAAAAGGATCAATAAATAAAATAGGCTCATTTAACAAGTTCCACAGACCTACAGATAATTATTTGACATAATAAAATAATTTGCATAATTACAATGGGAAATCTGAGAATTGATATAAATATTGTTGTTGTTTCACGTGTGCACAAATTAATGTTAGAAGATTTTTGCCTGTAACTTTCAGAAATTCGGGGGGGGATAGTGTTTAATCATGTGTACTGTAATCATGTGTAGTTTTTATAACTTTTTTCCTGGTTTGTAGATGAGAAAACTGCAAAACGAAAGGCTTTAGCTGCCAAACTAGAAGCAAATATAAAAGATTTTCAAGCTGGTTTTGAAGCAGAGAAAATAGAAAAAACGAGACATGCTGGTAAGGTCAGAGAACAGCTAACTTGTATAATGGAAACATCTTTGTTCAGATAATTGGAAGTCCATACTGTTTTGTGAACAAATAAGCAAAACTGTGTAAGGATTGGCCAATGTTCTAAGAAAATCAAGAACTCAGTTCAACTGAACAAAGTGCCAGTTTCTTATTAAAAATGTGTGATGTTGTTGCTTGTGGGCAACCATATTCATCTTTCATATTCACATAACAGGTTTCTTTCATGCCCGGTTAAGCAAACTATGTTTTATTATGACATATTGTTCTCATTATACCAGGCAGACAGCTGTACTGTGAACTCACGTGCCAGTTTCCAGACAGATGCCAGCTTCATTTTTCCTTTGCTTCTGGGCCCAGAGGCATTCTTAGCAAATGAAATAATGCATATTATCTTCTCCATTTGTTCTTGGTGTCCCATCTTTTTTGTTAAAAAAACAACACACCTCATCTTTAGAATGATGGTGTATCAAATTGTTATAGAAAAGCCTCTATGGGCATCACTGTCCATGCTTTCAGAATAGTTACTCCTTTTTGACAGCACTGACTCTACCAGTTCAAATGCCAGATATTCTTACAGTCTTTAAGGATAGTGCACTCATGGAAGAGAACTGTTTCCTTGTAGTGTGATGAGTAATCTTACATACTGTCAGTAAACATTATAAAATTAATGGGACACTGAATTTGTTCAGTAAGAGGCTTCTGTGGAGAGTAGGTATCCACTAACACTGATGCACTTGGAAACTCAGACTACTTGGAGACCTGGGATGATGTGGCTGTTACACAGTCCAAGGCTTCTGGAATGCCCTTCCAAAACTGCAGGGGAAAGAGAAGTTTTCTTTTTCTGAATTCCTTTGTTTCATTAGCAGTTCAACATAGCACTTACGTTGGCACCTAAATTATGCTGTCTAGATTTTGAGATCATTTTGCATTCTGGCCTAGTGCTGTTATTACATAATGAATGCTTTCCATGGGGAACAAACTATCCTAAATGGGCTTACAGAAGATATTGAGATCAGGAATTTATGGCAAGAACTTTTCTCCTTCTCTAGTGTCTCAGACTTACAATAGTTCATGTATAGCCATGCGTGGATTTTACACACGGTATTCTTGAGATTATATTTTATTTGTGACAAAAAGGTATTCAAAGTGAGAGGCCAGTCCTCATGCTAGGTCACTCAATAGTCAGAATGTCCTGATACCTTTTTCAATTCTGGCAGGCTTCTGCCAAATGGGACAGAAATTGGTCAGGAACAGTTTTTCATTGGTTATTTTCAACTATTTCCTCCCCATTTCAGTACATAGAAGAGAAATGATTAAGACCAACTCCAGGTATGACTAAAATTAGAGATTGTCATGAACTGGTGCTTCAGTGGTTTGTGCCGGTTTGGCTATCAACTCAACAGGTGTTTCTCAGTTCCAACGCAGTTCTGAACCCCACCTCCTCCAGCAGGTGCCCACTTAGAGGCAATCCCTGACTTCCTTGCCCTGTTTCCTCCAGGTGCTAGCACTGAGTGGGCGCCTGCCAGAGGAGGCAGGCTTGGAAATGCTCCAGGACCATGGAACTGGGGGTTCATGCCCATCTCTTGTTAGAATCTTTCTCCAGATCGAAGACTTTGGAGGCATTTGACACTGTGCACAGAGAGACTTCATAACCTCTTATCTCCATTAGAGAGGTGAACTGTATGAAAGGCATACATGACAGAGAAAGGAGTCTGATACTGGCTTCAGCCAAATATGTCCTCTCTCTCTCTCTCTGTCCCTGGGAGAATGCAGTAACAGTTGCATGCTGAAAATGAAATGGTAAATGAGAAAAAGAATTGTTATTGTTATTGTTATTGTTATTGTTATTGTTATTTGATCATAAAATTTCAACAGAATAAATTAATTAAATACTTGGTTAATTCAGCAAACAAAACCCATGAGGTAAACCTCAGTGTGGTATCATGTGGCTTCAGTGGCTGTCTGTGTTCTGGATATATATTTCTATTATATTTTGCACAGCAGGACAATCTACAAATGACATGTTTAATTGTTATTGTTATTGTTATTGTTATTTGATCATAAAATTTCAACAGAATAAATTAATTAAATACTTGGTTAATTCAGCAAACAAAACCCATGAGGTAAACCTCAGTGTGGTATCATGTGGCTTCAGTGGCTGTCTGTGTTCTGGATATATATTTCTATTATATTTTGCACAGCAGGACAATCTACAAATGACATGTTTAACTGTTCCAGGCAACCATTGTCAGCTATGTAAAACAGTTTTATCTGAAATGGTACATTGGACTGATTGTTCATTTTTATTTTCTTCATGGAAATAAAAAATCTCAGGCCCCAGAGAGTTTTCAGAAACACCAGGCAGACCCAGAATTATTATAACTGCGCAATCATCAGATCAGCAACAAATAAAACCATCACACTCAGGGCTGCAAATACAAATAAGTAAAGCACCAGGTAAGTACAGAATGCTATGTCTAACATACATTTCTAAGGGGTGCTTACATTAGTCTGGTCTCTGTAGGAGCAAAAATAACAAAGAGGCTTATGACACTATTAAGGTTAGCAAGTTTTAACTAACAGGTTTAATGAACTGCAGCCTACTTCGATGAAGTAAGCTACTTACTGTTAATGAAAGCTTATACTAAATAAAACATGTATTTATTTGCTTATTTAAAGCATTTATAGCCAACCCACAGGATGTCAGAGAAGGTAACAGAGCCATATAAAACTATTTTAAAACATAAGATGTGTAAAACAATATAAAATCAAACAATTTCAACCAAAGTTCAAACACTGAAACATAAAAACCATTGTGAAACCTGTGCAGGCCACAGTCATCAGTCCCCAAAGGTTCTAATAAATAAGTATGCATTGACAGTGCTGAAATGCTGCCATTGTTGGTGCCAACCCAGCCTCAGAAAGGGAGGGCTTTCCTTAGGTGGGGTGCTACGGCCAGGAAGGACCTCCTCTGCATCTCCATATACTGTTCACAGTGGTGAGATATGGATGAGGGCCTCACCTGCAGATTTATTGATTTATTGATTTATTTAATTTATATCCCGCCCATTTAGATCAAAGTCTACTCTGGGTGACTAACAACAATATTAAAATATAATTAAACAACAATATTAATACACTAGAGGATGGCGAAATAAGTTAGGTATTGACAGGAAGGAAGGCCTGTCTGAAGAGCTGGGTCTTAGGTTGGCTCTTAAAAATGCCCAGCGAGGGAGCCAGACAAATTTCTGGGGGGAGATTGTTCCAGAGCTGAGGGACCACTGCCGAGAAGGCCCGCTTTCTTGTTCTTTCTCTTCGGGTCTCCCTTGCTGTTAGGCCCCTCAGCTGCCTCTCCTAGCTAGATCGAGTGATATGGGTAGATCTAGGTGGGAGAAGGCGTTCTGCCAGATATTGAGGTCCTAAACCGTTTAGGGCTTTATATGTCATTGTGGTAAAGGAGACGAGGCAGCAGAGGCCCTCGTTGAAGTCCCGTCTCTCCCTAAGGCCAATAGAGGAATACAAACTTCTCCACCGCCGACTCTGCCCCGGATGATACATCAAAGCCTAGATGCCAGAGAACTGGAATTGAGTCTGCAAGGGTTAAATGTGTCCACCCAGACGGAGCAGGTTTTGGCGGGAAGGGAAGAAGGGGGACAGTCTACGGTAGAGGCAGGCTTGGGGGATATAAATACAGGGTGGGATAACATACCGGGGGGCTGGGAGTTGATTTGGGTACAAGACCCATGGACGGGGCTATGGGAGCAAGTGAAGGTTCCCCATGAAGAGGCCGATTATAGATGGTGGAAAAGTCTACCCCCGCGGCTGTCGTACTGGGGGAAATCAGAAGCGAGAGAGTGGAGGAAGAGGCTGAAAGAGGAGAGGGAAGCCCGTGAAGCAGAAGAGTGGCAGCTATGGCGAGCAGCAGAGGTGCGACGGATGAGACACCTCCCAGACCGTGGGGAACCTACCCGGGAGAGGGATCCCCACTTTGGGGAGATGAGGGCAATGAGGAGACCTTACCGCTGTTGACAGAGGATGATGTTGGCCGAGACTTGCCAGGTTATGACCCACTGGGCAGTTAAATCTTCTAATCCCTTTGAAACTGAACTTTGGTCACCCTTGAGAGACCCATTGGTCCCTCAAGAGAAGTTACACAAGCTTGCTGTTCCTGATTTGTTATCGTTTGACAAAGAAATAAAAACCACAAAAGATTTTGAAGTACCCACAATGTCTGGTTTATTGAACAAAAATGGGGAGGCAGAAATCGAACCCTCACAGTCATCATTAATACTTTGAAATAAATGCAGAAACAAACAGGTAGCCAATGCAAGGCTGCCAGAGTGGGAGATATATGTTGATGTTTTCTCACTCGAGTAAGAAGTCTGACTGCCGCATTCTGCACCATATGAAGCTTCTGCATCAATCTCAAAGGTAGCCCCACGCAGAGCGCATTACAGTAATCTAATCTTGAGACTACAAGCACATGGACCAGAGTGGTGATTTTACTAACTGGGCATAATTACTGTATATGGAGGGACACTCTTTCAAATATTCAGGTCCCAAGCTATTTAGGTCTTTGACTCCTAAATTTAAGATTCCTGAAGATTCTTTGTTGTTATGCTTAAAATATGTCAGTTATATGATAACTGACATCTTGTTGCAAAGTTTTCTAATTCTGCTCAAGTAAGCCCATTGATTTAGTGAGGATTTGGTCAGGCAAGTTCTCTGTAATTGCAATTGATTCAAATGGACCTACTCTAGCATAGCAAGTCTCAACTAGAGTAGGCTTCTTTGAATCAATGGGCCTTATGTAGAAGTTAACTCACAAAATCCCCAGTGATTCAATAAGCTTATTCTGGTGTGACTTACTATGTTAAGCAACAGGATTTCAGCCAATGTATCCTCCCATGAATGTCCATTATCTTTGATGTTTTAAAAATACAGTATGACACACTTTACAAAAAAGTAGCGACAATGCATTTGTGACAAAAGAGGAAAGAGAAGTCTATTGTTGTTGCTCCTTAGCATTGCTGGTACGGGGAGGGGGGCAGAGCCAAGGGTCAGGTCTAAAAATTAGGAGTCAAGTCCTAAATATGTATGTGTGAGGGATTACAAAATCACTGATTTTTTTATTTTATTTCAGGAAGCAATTTAGCAGCGATTGGCAAGCATTTTAAATTGGCAGCCAAAGATTTTGGAACTACTGTAATTGCTGAAATTGGTGTGGAGGAGAAGTATAGTCTCCAGAAGTACAATTTCAGCTAGGGATGGGACTTTCATTTTAAAATGAAAGTGAAAAACACAGAAGAGCCTCTCCCTTTCATTTTTTGGCCCTTACATTGACTATGAGAAGAGAGCTGCTTAAACACAGATGGTCTACATTAGCAGGAAATTGAAAATGTGTTTTTTCCATGTTTCTCTCTTCCATTCCTTTACCCAAATTGTGCAGAGATTTTCCTCATCTTGGCATGCCTTCTTGCCCTGCTGCGAGCCCTGCATTTTTTTGTACTTCTTCCTTCCCTTGCCAGTACTGCTGTGCTGTTTACTGTACTGGGGGGCCTGCCAACCATACTTTCTTCTCCCCCTAAGAGTTATACTAAGCTAAGTAACTTTCCCTTCTCTCACAGCTGAAGTCATTCTCCCAATTAATGTGGTGCCAATTAAAAGTATTAATATGAATATATTTTCTTTCCTCCAATCAATTTAGTAATTAGAAGACTCAAGTCTGATCGTACACCACAAAAAAGAACAGTAGTCCAGGACCAACAGGACGATGCTGTCTGTAAGCAACACTTCTTATCTGAGTCCAATTGAACAGTTATGTCTCTCAATAAACACACAGAATTTCTGACATGGTAGAACATAACACTTTATGTCAACATTTGCTCAAAATGTTTTTGAGGAACTAATTATTTGGAAGGAAATGTGGGTTCTGTATGCTTCTTAAAACAAAATTTGTTTTTCCACTTATGTATGCATACTTATCTAAAATATTAATCTAGAGTTAGACATAAAATTAATTCCACCATTCAAAAACCACCTCCTGATCAACAGATCTTTGAGTAGGCTCAGAAGATATTATGTATCAGTAGTAAATCTGAGAAACATAACACATAGTTGTTCACCTATTTATTTGTCATTGTGAAAAAGGTAACTAGGAGACAGGTCTCTATGTTGGCATGCCATCCCCTCTTCTCCAAGAAGTAGAGGGATATGAAACCACCAGCTCCTCAATAGAAATGAGCCTAGAAATACTGGGAGTAGAATCCCTGCCCAGAGGTGTCAGCTTGGGCTTCATAGAAGGTCCAGGAAGAGAGTCACCTTTAAAATCCGATAATCTGGGTCCTGGCGAGAAAGGGGGAGAGAGAGAAGTCTGGGGGCTATATGATGACCTTCCTTGATGTACTGAAACAACAGATTTTTGGGGGCATATCATAACTTGAAATCTAGGGCTGTTTCAGTTGTACTTTAGTGCCATGTTTGGCTATATGCTCAGCACTAACCCAGTATTTCTGGAGGGCAGCTACATATTGCCAACCTGTTGTTTTAGATCCTGGGGAAAATATGTACAAGAAATTAATTTTATATTAATTTTGTCTCTCAATTTTAGTGCCCAGAATACCAAAGCCTGATTATACAGATATCAAAACACCAGAAATAGAATTGGATGCTGCAGTCCAGGACCAACAAGACAAAAGTATATGTGAGTAATGTTGTGAATATATGGAACTTCTTATTGAACTGATTAAGTTCCAGAGTAAACATGTATACAATTCAAATTTATTTGACTGCTTTCCTCCATTTCTTTGGCAACAGAATGCAAAATTGTTATGTTGCTTTTTACCTGTATTTTGTATGTGGACTTTTGCTGTATTTGGAAGGAAATGTGGACTCTGACTGTTTGTAAAACAATTATATTTTTTCATAACACTATTTTATGTATAATGATTCTGTGAATCAGTAAATCTTTGGATAGCCTCAGAAAATATGGCATTTCAGTGATATATGCAAGGGAAATATGTAAGTACTCATCCAAAGATTTATTTATGCACCTATTTATTAAAAGTTTTTCTTTCTGCTCACTACAGTCTCCCCATGATACCTAAGTAGAGTGGGTAAAAGGCATTTAAAAAAACATATTTAAACAAATTTTTTAACACTTTTTAAATATCAAAGGCTATACAAATAGTTCAGTTTTGGCTATCCACCAGAAGTTCAACAATGATTGAGCCTGGCCAGTTTCCACAGTGAAGGTGCTAGTTACCTCTCTCAGGCTAGTGGGAAATACATAAAGACCTGCATTGAAGACCACAAATTCAAGTCAAACTCATAAGAAAGGAGGTGTTTTTCTGGCCCTAAGCCTGCTACTTTATATGTCAAACCCAGTACATTGAATAGATTTCAGAAACTTAACTAGTGCATTTAGTAGAAGACTAGGGATGTTTGCTCTATAAAGATTTCACCAGACAATATTTTGGATGCTGAATTTTGCATTGGCTCTGTATAATTTGGAGAGACCAATTAGTCTATGATTATCACAGTATGTACCTGGAGCCTTGTGGCACAGTGGTTAAACTGCAGTACTGCAGTGAAGACTCTGCTTATTACCTGAGTTCAGTCGCAGGGTCAGGTTTACCATCCTTCTGAGGTTGATAAATTGAGTACCCAGTTCAGGGGGTGGGGAATGTATAGCCTGCATGTTTAAATTATAAACCATCCAAGAGAGTGGTTTAACTGATGTGGGTGGTATTATAAATCAAGGAGAGAAGCACCAAGAGCATAATTCTGAGGGTTATATGAGAGATTTTAATGCTAGTTCTAGAGTCCCATATTTTAATGCACAAATCAGAAATATGCAGTACATAAAAAGAAATTATGCAATAATCAGTCAGCCATTTACTATTCAGAGCCATCTGTGGCTGTAACTGTCAGGTAATAGATTTTATGCATAATTGCCTGTTTGCTGTGCCTAAATCTTTATTGTTGCAGACAAGGAAATAGAGAGTACATCCAGAAGGCAACAACCACTGACTTTGCCGCTGCTTAGTCCTTCAGGGGTTGACGTCAGACATCCTGGTAAGCATGGATTAGTATCTTGGAGAGATACTGAGTCCCTGATTTCGGTGAATAAGGTTAGGAGCATTTGGCAAGAAAGATACCAGAGCTCAGAACGAGAAAATAATCTTGTACCCAAGGTCATTTGAATCTTTTTTTTTAAGTGAGATATTGACATGCAGAAATACCAAGGACTTAAATGTGGAGACCAAGGATTAGAAGATCTTGACCAATGATAGAAACCCTTTGTATGTATAGAGAAAAGATTTTGCCACCACATCCTGAAAATTGTCTTAGATGAGAGCTGTGTATGCAATATATCCCTCATGTCTGTGGAAAATATTGACTGCACCAGAAAACATCATTCAGGTGTTGGCCTTGGACTCATAGACAGGGGGAGCGACTGTGATGAACTAAGTCTCTTAAAAGACTGTCCCCTGTACTCCAAATAGTCTGGAGTGCACCATTGTCTTGGCAAGGTCTTCCTATATGAAACATCACAAGCTTAGTTCCTTCCTCTTCTCTTCTGTCATCCGTTCAGAAGCTAAGTCCTTTTATGCTGAACGTCGTGCTTGAAAATTGAAGGGAAATGGGTTCTAAGACAGCACATTCTCATTTGGTTCTTAAACAGTCACAATGTGTAATGGGCTAAGATGCAGAGGACTTAAATTATTCCTTTAAATATTTGTTGTAGGGGAAACAAAGAAAACTCAAAGGAATATAAATAAATGTTAGTTCCCTGAACAACATTGGCATTCTAAAATTAATCCCAGGCATTAGACACATAGTCAGGTGTATCCATCTGACTATGCCTATTACATACACAAACTGAACTGATTCAGCACAGATTATTCAGAAGCAGTCTCTGCACTGTAGATAAACAGGATCTTTCACTGTTGAAAAATACTTTTATTGATTTAAGACAACCATTGCTGTTCTCAGTGGATGATGCACTGCAAGAAATACTAAATTATAACAAGAGTCTGCTTCCTAGCCATAAGGCGAATCTGCAAAAAGCACTGCAAATTGCACAGCAACAATTACAACAGCAGCAAGCAAGCATGCTGGGTAAGTAAAAAGAATGCAGACAAAAATAGCATTCTGATTCATTGTTATATTTTTTTCAGGAACCCAGAGGATATTTTGTTGCAGTAGTGGGCAACTCAATTTAAAATCAGAACAGTCAGAGTTTGTAAAATATTACATTGGCAAATGAGTGCCCAGTTTGTTTTAGATTGTAATTAAAAAAAATTGATTGTCAATCTGATCTAAACAAAAATTAACTTTAAAATCTTCTGTTGCGGCATTTTAGAGGCCTCACTGACTTCAGCATTCGTAGACTTACGTTTTGCAAAAGTGATCCTGATACATTTTAAACATTCCAATTCTGAGAGTGAAGAGTTGTAATCCAAATCCAGTGGCTTTAAAATTATTCTTGGAATGTTTTGGATGTACTTATTTTTTAATACTTAAAATTCTATCTGATGGTTTTGTCTACAGTACTTCTTTCCTGAACTTGTGACTGCATCTTGTTATATTATGATGCTTTAAAAAGCAGAACTTTTAGACTTCTTACTCTGTTTCCATTTGTTTTCTCACTGACCTCCATTTAAATCTTCCTGACTGTAAAAACTGAAATTTGATGTTAGAGACAGCTGATAGAGCTGAAAACATATTGATATTGTAGATGGGTGACTGAGGCAGTCTTTCCATATTTCTGAAACGAGACATCAAAGGAATCTTATGCTTAAATCCTGGAGACCAATCACCAAACAAAGCAAACGTATTTCCATAATGCCAGCTGTGAAGAACACAGGATTTTGTTTTTCCCTAGAGGTCTATAAAGTTCTGTGACGATCTTAGGGAGATGTTCAGGCATCAGATTCCCTGACCTGACACTTCCACCCACAAACATGTTCTATTTGACTCCACTATCTGAAGCCTTGGTGCAAGAGATCAACACTCTTCTCATCAAAGTAGCCATTGTGCTTTGTTAAACAAGTTGCATTGGAAGAGATGCTTTGTTTTGATGGTCAGTTCTCTCCACTGTGCTCCAGTGAGTACAGGTGTCTGCTTCCCTACTTGTACATTCCTTTCTGGAGGTGAGGGCTTTAGTTGGCACATAGAAGTATGAATGTATAATGAACACGATGAAGAAAGCCAGGTCGCTCACGTATAGCATTTGTTCTTCTAGCATCATTTATATATTTTCTTGACCTGCCCTTCATCCTCTCGTAGGGATCAATGGCAATTGAACTCTACTGCTGTGTTGTCTGAAATGTGGAACAAAGGGGGTGGCATGGGTACTGTAGATAGGAGGGGTGGGGCTTCTGTGAGAGCTCTCTCCATCTGGGATGTTCCAAAGAGTGGGATGTTCCAAAGTTCTCTCTGTCTGGAATGTTTTAAAGGATATACACATGCAGACTCATCAGTGTGATTGCAGAGCCCCCATTGTTACAGTTAAATAAACGTTACAGGTGAACAACTTTTTTTTTTATTCTTACATGCAGACTCATCAGTGTGATTGCAGAGACCCCCATTGTTACAGTTAAATAAACGTTAGAGGTGAACAACTTTTTTTTTATTATTCTTAAAGGCTTTCACAGCAGGTATCTGATGGTTGTTACATGGCTGTTTGGCCATGTTCTGGAGGTTTTTCTTCCTAATGTTTCTTCCTAACATCTCTGTGGCCGGGAGGTTTCGCGGCCAGGGAGTACTTTTTTTTTTTTTTTACTCCTGTCCTCTGAAGATGCTGGCCACAGAGACTGTTGAAACGTTAGGAAGAAAAACCTCTGGAACACGGCCAAACAGCCTGAAAAATCTACAATAAGCAACTAAGTTTTTACAAGTGATTTTGTTTAGAAAATTGAAATATCATTAATATTACTGGAGCAGATATCATGAATGTATCTAACATTTTACTGGCCTTATTACAGGTACTGAATTGCATTCACGTTACAGAAATAAATTTTGTTTTGTTTTAATTTGCAGCTGAAAAGTTAAGGAATATCTCAGCGTTTTTCCCCCAACCACCTGGCACAACTAGATTCCATGATTATTCCTTACAGCCCTCACAGCCAGGTAATCTATGAAGCTGACTATCTGATGAAGATATGTTGGTGCTTTTTAAATGAGAAAGAGAGTGTTCTTACTGTAGGTCCATACAATTAAAGGATTCATTTAGTCTAGGAGTACGTTGCTTAATAAGTAAAGTAGAAGATGTATACTTCTTTACTGGAATACAATCATACAGCTGATACTTTAATGGTCTAGAACTATAATCTGAGTCAGAGTTTTTCAGAAGGCTGCTCTTAGCTCTTGCAGCACCCACAAAATGGAGAAAATGTAGCAGCACTGGTTCAGTATTAAGTGTTAAGCTTTCAACTGCTTATAATACTGAAGACAATAAGCTCAGAATACAGCTTTTTTGACAAATGCACCATTGTGGAAAACAGCAGCACTGGTTCAGTATTAAGTGTTAAGGTTTCGACTGCTTATAATACTGCAGACAATAAGCTCAGAATATAGCTTTTTTTGACAAATGCACCATTGTGGAGAAAATTCAGAAGGGTGCATGTGTATAATAGGGTGCACTATACAGTATAATAGATGCACACATTTTTGTGTATGCAGTATTTGGCTGTTGCGGCAAGTCCTCTCAGAATAACTGTTAGTTTAAAAGGCTTCCTGCCCATCCACTGGACCAAGGAGCTTAGGTACATCCCAATCCTCAGTGGTTCCTTTGCTGCAGTCAGAGAATGGTAGGGTGGCTTAATTACTGTGAAGGTCCATTCTGGACTGTGAAGAAGAAGACATCCAGACTATCCGTAGGGGGGCTTAATTACTGTGAAGGTCCATTCTGGACAATCTGTGACTTCTCTCCTTGCTAAAACATGTGTACCTTGCAACTTATTTCTGTCACTTTTTGCGTTATGTTCTCTGTCAGAACTAGGGCTGGAGTATGGGGTCTATATAATATGAATAACTAATATTGTACATTTGAATTGTTCCAGGCCTTGGCAGCCCTATGAGTTGACCCATTCTTGGGTGTCGTCTTCCCTGCAGTCTAGAATGAATGCTTATTGTAAATACATGACAGTACCATTTAGATTCTGATCACAAACTGTACATTTAGTCCTGAAGAAACTTGCATGCAGTTCTATAAACAAAGGAAGCAGTTTTGAACAAGACTAGATGCTGGATGCATATAATTCTAATCCCCCCTCCTTCCTTCCTCCTGGAAGCCAGTCATTCCATATTGCTCCAGATACATATTTTGGGTCTCCAGCACTGGGAGTCAAAATAGTTTGCAAGGATAAAATATTTTCATATACAGTAGTCTTATGTTTACTAAGAATGACACATTGTTTTTCTTCATAATACTTATTAACCTATTCTATACATTTATGCATGAACATAAAGAAACATGTTAATCATTATCATTTCTATGGAAAAACGTAACTGTTTTTGATCAATTTCACTGAACGTTCATAAATTCAAAATAATATTATTATTAACATAATAATATGTTTTGACTTTAAATTGATATTGCGTTTTTAAAATCTCATATGTTTCCATGCAGGATGGGAGTCAAATCAGTTACCACAGAAAGGCTATGCTCACAAACTGAAAATGTTAAAAAGAAAGATTTTAGGGCCAGAGCTGAAAGGTAATTTATCTCTTTCATAATGGGTTCTGTATTCTTTAATTCTTCTGAGTTAAAATGCAAACTACTGTACATAGGATCAATTTCTAGATGGCTGACGTTTTTTGTTGTTGTTGTTGTTGACAGCCTGTCTGAAATGGGAGACAGAGACAATTTACTGTGTTTTTAATTTGTTTGTTTTAATGTTGTGAACCACCATGAGTTCCCTCATTGGGAGAAAGGTGGCCTATACTGTAAATTACACTATCTAAAAATAATTTGAATGTGTCTTTCCTGATTAAGTTGTACTGACTCAATTATATCTTCCTCTGCCCAAAATGCTATTCCATAATGGTTTTTCCCCATCTCAGCAATTTTATATGTTAAGTAGTAGGTGTCCTGGGTTTGCTTCAGTGTGTGCATGCAACAGTGATTTGTAACAATGAGATGTTATGATTTAAAATAAAATTAAAAGATTAAAACATGATATGCTAAAATGGGGTTCAGGGATTCAGTTGTAATTATTAAAAGCCTGCCTGAAGAGATGGGTCTTTAGCTTTTTCTTTTTTCTTTTTTGAAAGGATTTGAAATTGTGACTAAATAATGTGTAGACACAGCCAGTGATTGGCTCAGAAAACAGCCTGGTCTTCAGCATGAATGTGATATGGCAGTTCAAAAATCCTAAAACTTTTTCCTCATCTCTGCTTCTGCAATGTTGTCAAGCCATATTCACAATTACGTTGGATCTCAAAATTCTACCCCTGATTAATCAGAAATGGGGAAAGAGCAGTAAAGAGGGCAAGCAATTGTTAAACTTCTGTATGATGAACTGAAACTGTGCTGAAATCATAACATTTGCTTGACTCTCCTTTCTAATAGGAGATGGCATTCCAATTAGCATAGTATTAAAATAACTAAGAATTCAAATAGTATAATGAAGCCATGCATTTTGTGTTTAGCATTATGGCAAGCTCCTCCACCCACTCAAGGCCCAGGTACTGCAGCCAATCTGGATCAAGAAGCAGTAAGTAACTACGGATTATGTTAGAAAGCTGAAAAATTGCCAGTTCTGTAGTTGCTGTCTTAAAGAATATAGAAATTAAGGAGGTTCTTGGAGGAACAGTACATTTAAAGGGAATGATCTGGTAATTTATCAGCTCATTTTCTGTGTTAAAATAATCAGTAGTCCTTTTTTGCTCTTATGGGAAGGGAAGGAGGGTGTTTCTGTCATGAAGACCCAAGTTTTTGTTGGTATACATATTGCAGACATAAAAGGACTTTACTATTTGTACTGAAGCAAATGTATTTTTAGGTCCTTCTTAATATAACGGTTTTACTGAATTAGACCTATTTACTTCACATAGTAGTCAACAGCTATTCTTAGAAGGCTTGCAAGTAGCAGAAAGTACAAGTGTCTCTGATTTGTATGTTTTCAGAATTATCCTCTCTATATTTGTCTAAAACTTTTTAAACTAACTGATCAGTACAATTTACTTTGTGATTCTGTATGAATTAGGTGGACTAGTGAGTCTACGATTATTAATCACACAAACTATTTTGGCTTTGCTCCTCTAGCCTCCAACATGTAGCTGGAAACATCCAGAAATTCATGGTGAAAACTAGATTACTGGGACTACCAGTTTAGAAAAGTGCTGCCTAGTTCTTTACTGGAGATTGAGTGAAATCTCATCTTCAATAGATGATTGGCTTTAGCAAAGTTCAGTTATATCTGTTTTGCAGGAAATAATGCTGTTTAACAGGCATTAATCATTTTGTAATTTAGAGTTGAACAGAAGTGAAAAAAACATTAATGATGTGGCATATTAAATGTTAAAATGGTCGTTCTACATTTTTATTTACTATAAATGCTTGCTTTTAACTAGTCATCTTTGAAACGGATACTGTACATTTAAAAAGTAATGAAGCTACAAGTTTGATAACTTTGAAACACTTCAGCTGCTTGTATTTCAGGAATTTGTTTCTGTGAAGAAGTTTCAATCTACTGTACACTTTCACTTGGTGTATGAGGGAAAGTGTACAGTATATTGTCCTTATAAAAGCATGGCATGCACAGTCCAACACGTCAAACTAGCTTAAAAGTAGCTATTTGTTTCAACAGTACAAATCAACAGTTATTGTATTTCGGTACTAGGACCTTTCTGTGCATGACTTCTGAAAACTAGGTAACTTAAACATTATGTTATGCAAATCAGCAAATGTGCTGACTATTTTGTTCCTCAAACAACCTACTAACACCAAATTAGTTGTTGTCTAGCTCCATCTGCTGGCCTCCAGCCAGGCAACCATGTCAACCTTTCCCAGGCTCTGTAGTTTAGTGAAAACAATGGCAGTGCAGGCAACAGAGAAAAATGGTTGACTTCTTTCTTTTTCTTTTTCTTTCTCAATGTACATGGCTGCTAAGGTGACTGCCATCATGGGTTACATTTTCATGTGTTTTCTATGTTTACTTACCAAAATATGACACTGACATATATTGATTGGTCAGTGTTGGCTATTCAGATTAGCAGCAGCTTTCTCTTGTCTCCTGTTTGAGACCTTTTCCATCACCTACTACTGACATTTAACAAGAGCTACTGGAATTTGGATTTAGGGCCTTCTTCATGTGTCCTACCGTTGAGCCATAAGTTCTTTACTGCCATTCTCATATTGATTGGATGGGTGACAGTCTCATAACAAGATTTCCTAGCTCACTACTTCAACAATTGACAGCTGAGCAGGATCTTCATGGTCTAATTTACATTGTGATGCATATAGGTGTGTTCACTGAGTTATAATAATACGGAACATTTTTGTTTCATTTTTAGGACCCAATCGTCATTTGCGGAAAGGGAGTCAGTCCTTACAGAAAACATGGAGCTTTTCCAGTCATAAAGCAAAATCTAAGACATTAACTTTATTCTAAATCTTTTTAGAATTCCTCCAGTGAATTGTGAAAAAGAATAATTAAGATTCACCAGTAATGCATGACTCTGCTTGAAAGCGGTGGGAAAAATCAGTTGCAGTGGAGTGGCTGTTTAAATATATGAAATCTGATTAATCAAATCTTGTGTAGTAACAGTAATTTTAATGGATGAAATGGAATAACATTATACTGGTTCTTAGTTGTGTAATTAGGAGTTTGAAATTAATGAGAACCTTGGCCATAGAGTTTTATCATAAAATAGAGAGGTACACTAGGTATTAGAAGTCACACAGTAGGAACAAATAAAACTAAATACTACTGTGCTTCATATTAATTTTTTTAATTGTTTTTTTATATAGGAATTGCTTACCCTCACAATTGACCTAACTATACAATAATAGCATGCTGAACAACCATTAGCCAAAATGCTGTTGTATAGTTATACTTGTGGAAGGCAAATAGCATAATTTGCTATGGCTTCTTGCTGGCACTTAATGAATTGCTGTTTTGATTTTCAGGCATTCATCCACTGAACTGGCATGTGTCACTTTGAACGCATGGGATAGCAGAAACAGATCTGAAATTCCACAAATATGATTTAGATGTTTCCATACAATATTCTTTCTGAAATATTTTATGTGGGACATAATGTGGCCCTTTCTGCAGGGTGGTGTAGTTTTCTTGGCCTGCCCCATCCCACATTCAATTTGGCAAAGGCAAATGTATGTCTGAATGCTATAAGAGAAACTAGGGATATCAGCTTTACCTAGCCGACATTGCTATAAACAACAGGAGAAAAAGTGGAACAATATGCCCACAAGTTTCTGATACGCCTTATCAACAACAAATTTCTTTTAGAAAGCAGGGAGAGAGATTTTTGTCCTTCAGTTGCTTTTAACTAGTAGGGAAGAGTTAGTGACATTAACGTAGTGGGAAGACATTGTTTAGATGGGCTTGTTATTACCCTGCTGGACCATGAAAAACCCCAAACTGCTAATGGACTGCGGGGGCTGAAGCCCTCCACTGGCTGTCTTCCATGGACTATGTCCCTGGTAGGCATCACGTTCTTGGCCAGATCAGAATTCAGTTTTTCCTCCTTGAGCAGTTTGGCTGGGATAAGTTCATTCTTCAACTCTTTCTCCCTCATGGTGTTTTCAAGCAATGCTTCCAGAGAGAAACACTAACAATGGGAAAAAAATCCTTTTGTTTTTCATCACTTACTAGAGAGAGCAGGGATTACATTTACCAGGCCATAGTGTTCCCTGCTGGATAATTTTCCAACCTAGACACTGTTCAGTTGTTTTAACAACCTCCTTGAGTAAGCTCTTCAAGCCAGCAGCCACCTTTGTTTTGAGGCTGCTAGCTTTCAAAGTGGTCTCGTGGTGTCTGTTACCTCTGTTATATAGCAGGTAAACTTTGCACCTTGAGGTCTAATCCCTCGTACTTCAGTTGTCATAACAAGGCTGTGCTTTGTCCAGGTTAATTTTTGCTTAAAGTGGTGTCACGTCTGTCATATCTTTTGTTCTTTCTGGACTGTTAATTGGATAATTCAATGGGTTTGGTACCTAGCTGCAGAGCCAGAGGTCAGGAATTTAATCCCCCATTATGAATCAGCCTATAGCAAACTGTACTTCCTTAGAAGTGCCTCTTATAAGGTTACTGGCCTCTTGTTACTGTTGTGTTGGTCTTTGGGGAACTGAGAATGAAAACAGGATTTACTTTGAGATAGGGAAACTTTACTGGCCCAGGTGATAAATCTTGGAAGTGTTTCAATGGTTGCATTCCAGCTATCTGGTTGATACATGTCAGAGTAAAGCCAAAGGACACTAGAGACAAACAAATTTGAAAAACTAGATATAATTCTTACATGTGTGGTCATTTTTAAATACCTTCTCATCTCTAATTGAATGGCAGGAAAAGCAAAAGTTCCCCATTTTTGCCAAGGACATATGCTTTAGGAATGCAGTAGATCCATGTACTGACATTTTTTAGGTCTGGAATGTTCTTTGGGCAAGGACTGAACATATTATATGTGAATGCATACACATGATAATTAGAAGACTGAGAGTCAAAGGTAAGCAATATGTTCTTGCCATTGACTTGTAAACTGGCAAACAGATTCAACACAACCAGAAAATCAATCCAGTTTTATTGTTTGTTGGGAATCAATTATTAGATTAACTATAATTTGCCAAATTAGTACATTACCTGTGTTTTGTTGTACTTGTGCATATTTTATAAACAAAGGGACTTCTATTTTAACCTAATACATCAGTTGCAGTTACCAAAGTAAAAAGCTGTAAACTTTTCCAAGCCACCAAATAGCTAAAACTAGCAACCGAGAAAACAGAAGGCAGCATAAAATAATCAGTGTTAACTTTCTGAAGAGAGCATTGTCTGTACATGGAAGTTTTCCATGTACGCTGGAATAGTAGAACATGTTTATTCTATGTCCCGTGAAATACCTCCTGGCATTTAAGCAGCATGTTCTTCACAAAAGTGCTCTCTATTTGAAGACAGCGGGTGAAGTGATGACCGAGGAAGTAGCGCTAGCTAGTACACTCCTCATGTTTTCATTTTATTTAGATGAATGAGGCCCAAATGCTCTTATATTCAGGGTGTTACAGGTCAAGAACAATACTTTGAAAATGAGCCTCGAAATAGTGCAAAAAAGTCTAAATGCCTGGGGTTAAATCCAGTTATTAGTAACAACCAGAATAAACCCACTACACTGTGCCTCACTTAGCGACGTTAATCCGTGCAGGAAAAAATGTCGCTAAGGGATTTCGTCGCTAAGCGATTTTAAAAAGCCCATAGAAACGCATTAAAATGCGTTTAATGCGTTCCTATGGGCTTCAAAACTGACCTTATGCGAAGATCCTCCATAGGGGGCGGCCATTTTCGGTGCCTCTAAAGCGAGGACACACAGCGGGCGGCCATTTTGTTTTTCTGGCGGCCATTTTGTAACCGCCAATCAGCTGTTTAGAAAGGGTTGCTTTGCCATGATCGCTTCCCTGCGATCATCGCAAAGCGATTTTTACCCATAGGGACCATTACTAAGTGATCACTCTGGCGATGGCCAAAACCCCATCGCTAAGCGATCTCAATGGAGCGATCGCTAAGCGAGGCACCACTGTATTTGCGAACAACAGTTAAGTTTGCAGAAGTTCCATTGATTCAGCAGATCCACCCTAGGTAAAGTTTCCCGTTGACTTTTTAGTCGGTCGTGTTTGACTCTAGGGGGCAGTGCTCATCCCTGTTTCCAAGCCGTGAAGCCAGCGTTTGTCCGAGGACAGTTTCCGTTGTCACGTGGCCAGAGCGACTTAGATTCGGAACGCTGTTCCACCCTAGCTGAGTCTAATAACTAGATTTAGGCCCTGCCCTTCACAAACTTCTTTGTGGCTATATTCAGTTATCAATTGACGCTTGTGAATTATCTTTGTTTTAAAAATCCCCTCACAGAAAACTATAGCAATCTAGATGTAATCAGAGTGTGTGCATGCATCAAGGTGGGATTGAAACAGTTTGAAACTGAAAAGAGCCACATGTCTACTTCTGGTCACAAAATATTTACATACCAAGCATGGCTACATAATACAAAATGCCTAGAATAAATGTGAAGTGCAGGAGACTTAACACTTTCATGTAACTGCAAAAGTAGTTTTGGAATTGGATAATGTCACTGTGCAGGTGGCCCCATGCACCTGGTTTTAATGTTAAAAGATTACTTAGTTCAAGAAGCAATTTTTTTGCTTCTTGCATGAGCTGCAAAAATAACTTGGGGAAAAATGCATTTTGCTCACCCCATTGTAAAGCCAGAGCCTCTCTCCCTCACCTTGGGCTCCCCCCCTCATGTGAAATAAGCAGGTGATGATGTTATCCAATTCCAAAATAACTTTTGCAATTACAGAACAGTGTTAGGGCTCCTGCACTTCACATTTATTCTAGGCATTCTGTAACCATGCTTGGTATGTAAATATTTTGTTATTTGTAGCACATACCAATCTGTCTTTTTCTCTAGGAGGTTTTCTCTCTTTAGAATGAAGCATAATCTGTAAAAACATAGATTGCAGTAGCTACAGTACTAAAATGCATCAGGCAGAAAGAAATAGATCTGTGATATTTTAAAAGGTTTTTTTATTTAATAAATAACTTACATGACAGCACTGTAAAAAGTGAACATCTGTTAAAATAAAAGGCACTTAAAATTAGGATGAGGCTAGTACTGAACAAATGACCGTATAGTCAGTGGCAAATATACATGGCAGAATCACTGATCTCTCTGACTGACAAGTCATGTTACATGACATATTATGCAATCTTAACTTCAGGGCAAAGGCAAATGTACAGCCCAGACTGCAAAAGAAAATCATGTTGTTTTGACAACATTAATCTTAAACAATATGAAATAAAATACATTATAGAAAAAGGTGACAAAGCACCAGGCTTTAATCCAAGCAAGGCCATTTTTGAAAAACCCTAATAATAAGGCGCTAATATATTTAAAAGAGTCTCATGCAGACTACTTTTCAGTACTCAAGCCAAAACTTGAATTTACAAAGCAAAGGTCTGAGGTTACTGTGCAGCAACATCATGAAAATGAATGGCACAATGTTAAAGCTATTGTTTTGGATCTGTTCTTAAAGATAAACTCTGACAGTTTAGAACATATAAGCACTTACTAAATTGTCTTTCACAACATGATTTCTGTCGTATTAAACTCACTGGTACCCCTAAAGATACAGTAGTACAATCAGTCCATTATTCACAAGCTAAAGTAAATGTTGTAATTCACAAAGACTCATTTGGCTCGCTTTTAAACTGTGCAAACCAAGCCCTGATGTGCTAAAAACTAATTTAATTTTAATACTTAACGGCTATGCAAAGCCCTCCCACACTGACTGCTTTAGTCATTTCACTCCAGGCACAGGAGAGAAAGGACCAGAAAGGCACCGTGTGACCTTAGTTAAGTATGCTACGCAGTCTCAAGTTTTATGTCAGTCTCCTGGCATTGTTTATTGTAAAAAAGAGGAGAAAAAGAAAATACTCAAAAATAAAAAACATACTGTACATTTTCAAAATCTGCATAGAAAACAACCTATGTGTAATGTAATGCATTAGTAAATTCATTGTATTATTGGCCTAAAGCTAGGTTACTGTGACTACAAAATTGCTACATGGCATACAGTGTTGTGAAGTCAGAAAGGAGTTTTCATTTGCCCTCATATTTAGGATTCACCACAGTTGTCACAGCACTCTTGTATATAGGATTTTCACCCTAGAAGGGAAAAACAATATGTATTAATGATATGGACAGGTTACTGGTAGCATTTTTTGAAGCTTAGTTACTAAAAATAGTTCCACACACAGTCAACTCAATCCAGAACTCCATGGTTCTGTAAAGGATCACTTGGATGAAACAAGCACATGTAGCTCTTTCAAAAAACTGTTAACTTTCATCGCGCATGATGCCTATTGTACATTACCATTTTACAATATGCAAGAAGATTAAGATACCTGACTGCAAGTATTCCTTCGGTATATCTTTTTCTAAAAGCATCATTAAAACACAAGATGCATAATATGTAGGCACAGGTACCTTTAGTTCATGGTTCCTGCACTCTGCCATGGAATTAATACTTCGTTTAGGTATATTCTTGCCAATGTGAAATTCATGCTGCCATTATTGCATTACAGATGTCCACAAACTGTTTGTTACATCCAAAAGGCCTTAAGGGCAGGACTATACTAAAATTCTGATCACCACAGCAATCTTATTCTAATTAATCCAAAATCCACAGCAGGGCTGTGCCTTTATTATTAAGACAAAACAAAATGTCACAAGCTAATTAAGAATAAATGGCAGCTGATAGGCGAAGAAGCAGAGAACGTCCAAAGTCAGCTCAGCTGTCGGTGCTTCGAGATCTTAGCTTATGCTCAGTTTGAAAATGGAGATTACAGTCTGAATGAACTAACCATCAATAGATGCACAATACATATATACAAAAATAAAGGTACTGTATTGCCCAACTGGGAATTTGATTTGCTCTTTCTCATGGACCAGAACAGGTATCTTTTTACTTTTTCCCTTTATTTTAAGCAAAGTCAGCATGCAAAAATAACAATGAGATTCTTATATATACAGTTATTCTACCACACACAATTATTAGTTCAAATATGAGCACAATCATTCCCATCCTTGACTGTTCAAAAGCGGAACTGGCATGGAAGGTTTATTGCTCAGGCACAAGCCCTATACAAGCTGTATTAAAAAACACACAAATTGTATACATATATTGTGACCCTGTAGATTGAGCGTCAGTTTACAAACATCACTCTTGAACTCTTAATTGCCCTATGTACCATGTTAGGTGTATCTGATTTATGGTGATACCCTTGGACTACAGAGACATTGTGGTATGTTGGTTTTGACTGGAAGATTCATCTCCTTTAAGGTGCAGTTTCTAACACTTGACGTGCCAGATGTATTGTTTCCACAGATGAGAGAAAGCCTATTTGTTACATGCAGCCTCAACTTCTTAATTTTAAATGGTCATTCTGCAGGCCCATCAACAATTATGTAGATGAAAACGTGCAACACATATACTGAACATGCTTTGTGATTTCTGCAGCCGATATATGGCAATGCTTTAAAAATATTGAAGAAAACCCTCACAATGTTTAAATCTAGATATCTGTGAACCGGAGAATAAGTCAGGTTCTTCAGACCAAAAAAAAAAGAAAAGAAAAAATAAAATAAAATAAAATAAAATAAAATGTAATGTATTATCAGTGAGCAACCTAACAAAACATTTTATTGCACAAGTACTGGTGATTTACACTTCCATAAAGCAGTCTAAGTCTTGGTAGCAATTTGCCTCTACAAGATTCCTAGTCACCATGTGTGACCCTAAGACACATATAAGCTGAATAAAAAAGGGAGAGAGAGATTGTGGCATTTCCTATGGAAAGAGGATGAGAAGGGAAAATGAAAGGAATAAAGATATCAGTGAGTCAACAAAATATTATCCCTGTGCTGTGAAACTCTGCTTACAGAAATGTAGGCCAAAACGAAGTGAACAAAAACCTAATGCTATGCTTAGTATAATCCAGCCTCTGGATACAGCCGGGAAGTGGGGACAAACATTCATTGCTGGGTAAGTGGAGGAAGCAATGGGAGGAATAAACCTGCCAGAGATGTCAAATGGGCAACCACGGGAAGAAGTAAACGATCCAACTGGGTAGAATGCAGTATGTGTCATTGAACATGTAGACTGGGTGTTCATTCTACTTCTCTTTTAGTTCCACTAGTCTGCAGTCTATAAAATAGGTGTTTCACGGCTGACCATATCCATGAAAGCCATTTTGTCCAGTGTTATTCTTCAATATTCCAGATGCGTTAACTGGGCTGAAAAGGTAGAAGCCCAAAACCTAAAGTATGTGGCTTTATCTAGAAAAATTAAGTGATTTCTAATGAAATGTATCAAGCACAGATTTTATTTTTCCACTCAGATTATAATGACTTAACCATTCTTATATTTGGCAGGATCATAGATGTACTTTAGTTGCTGCAAATATGGAAATTTGCCTGAACTCCCAAACAGAAAAAGCATGCACTGTATCAAGATCAGCACACTTTGGCATGCTCTGGTCATGTTGTTTACAAAAATCTGAGAAAAGTTGGAGGCAATGCAACAGAATTCTGTTTACATGCCCCACTTTTTAAGTCAAGCTCTTTTACTGAGGACCATCAAGATCCTCAAGCAGGTACTCTATATACAATAGGACCCCTGTATCCACACGGGTCAGTTCCATGACTCATGGTGGATGCCTGAAACTGGATATGAGGGAACCATATATACAAAGGGGACAGACAAAGTTCACAAAGGACTGCCCTTGTATGTTGTATATCCGGCTGTGGCAAACCGTGGGTAAATGAAACCACACATACCAAGCATATGGATACAGGGGTTTTACTATATGCTGGAGCAACGAGTTCGCACTTTATGTGCTGTGGTGCAGCACAACTTTTTCAGAGTGGAGTTTTAAGTTCTCCATTCCCTCTGTCCCTAAAAGGGCTCTGCTATGTACTTAATAAAGGAAAGAAAAAGAAAAAGAAACAACAGCTGATAGAGCTGATAAGAGTCAAGCAGTGATTAGTTAATGGTGCATACAGCAACATTTAAGAAAGGAACATGCACAAAGAAAGAAATGGAAAAGAAAATACGAACGGAAACTTAGAGACCCGCTTTACGTCCATAGTTTGGATTCTTGAAATTATTAATAGGACTCTTGTATATTGGATTTTCTTGCTGAGATAGACAGAAAAATAATCAAAGTGGGAAACAGAAAACATTCTCAAACAGAAAGTAAGTCATGCTGTATCTACACAGAATTGTTAGTTTTCCTATGGTTTATAAATGAATTAACTGATTCGTTTTAAAACCTTCAAGTTTGCTGGAGTCATACTACAAGTGAACAAAAGTAGAGCAAGACTACAAGGCATGTTTGCATGTTGAATTGATCTGGATCTGAGTATATCAGTTTTCAACATTTAAGACATATTTTTAAAAAAATTACTTTTCATCACCTCTCTCCCCACACACACACACACACACACACACAGAGAGAGAGAGAGAGAGAGAGAGAGAGAGAGAGAGAGAGAGAAAGCAAAGTCTACTGATTCTTAACAGAATCTGCTGATTCTTAACACAACTACACTGTGGCTATAAGACTGCAAATGTAATGATGAATACAGACAAGCTGAATATCTGACAACTCCAGTAGTTGCCTTCACATAAATAAAAGTAACAAAACTGAAGAGGTTAGAACTAGTCCTTTAAGATGTAACTTATCCAGTCCAAAGAACATTGTCTTTTAAAGTAACTATTTTGAGAGATTTAAAAAAAGAGACTATATTGGGGTCACATTTTCTATTGCACAGAGATGTAGGCCAAAATGAAGTGAACAGAAAAATATATACTGTATACTCTTAAGATTTGTCCATAGCTGTTTACTATAACTTACTGTATCCCATTTTGCATTCATTTTTTCTTTTTCAAATTTTGCAAATTCTCTTCTATCATGAATGATCATAAGTAGTTTCCAAATCAGCAATAAAGCCAGACCAATGAGAACAATTCCAGCAACTACACCAGCAACGATGGGGATGATGTCAGGTCCTGTTGGGCATTCTAAGGGTCAAAATTATTTTAGAACAATTTTAGCATAATGAAAAATCAACACCATGGAAATATGATCTCTATACTTATTACAATATTAACAATAATATTATCACATACAATAATGATTTACAAGCACCTTGATTTATCAGTTTACTTAATCCTTGAATTCTCCCTTCCTCCTGAGAGCATTTTTGATGTCAAGCCACTCTCACTCTCACCTTCTAAATATTTATTTTACCTTTGTAACTCTCTATCTTTAAGACAGAAGTTGGTAACTTAGTGGCCCTCCGGATTTTGAGGCTACCGCTCACTCTAGCCAACATGTCAAGGTAAAAGGTGATGGAAGATGCAATTGAAATTATCTTTAGGATCTCAAGTTACATGTCTAAAAGGACCCACACTCAAATGAGATGCAGACAGGCAGTCAGATATCAGTCTGGTCAAATATGTCACTGTTGTGTGATGCCATTACTTTTATGACACACTCTTCATCATTATTGTCACAACTTCGGTGCAAGTCACTGCCAAAAGTGTATCAAATTTGCAGATGACATAAAACTGAGGGGGACACCTAAAATCTCAGTACATGAAAATAAACCTTGCCAAAATGTGACCACACTTTAAGACGAATGAGACTGCAACAAATTATCTCATATTTGTGATAACACAAACCCGGTGGTATTCTCCAAATACCTGAAGGCCTATCACAAAAACTTCTATTCTGATGGCCCAGAGGACATGTTTGAATAGGCTTAGGTTACTGAATGGTTTATTTTGGCTGAATATTAAGAGAAACATTATTCTCTTAAAAATGCAATCTGGTTATCTAGATGAGTGGAGGGGGAGCTCTAAATAGATGCTTGAAACACAGGCTGGACAGCTGGGGATGTTCTCTGACTGGGTTTCCTCCATCAAGCAGAGGAACTACATGACCTACACAAATCTAACTGTGTGAAGAATACAAGGGAGATGGTGGGACCAGGTCAGACTGGTAGCATTTGTTTGATGAGGAACCATGTTTGGTTCAAGGGCTGAACTGGCTGTGTACTAGGACTGTGGTTCTGAACCTTTTTGAAAGAAGTGCCCCCTTGAGCCATTGGGGAAGTTCATTGCCACCCTCCCTGCATAGGCACATCCACTGCCAGCATCAGGAGGGGGGGCGATGATAACTTAGTCAATGGCGGCAGCAGCTCCATTGCCCCCTTTCTCTTCCTTTGCTCCTGTGTCGCCCCTTTTCATTCCATCGCCCCCTGGGGGCAATATCGCCCAGGTTAAGAACCACTGTACTAGGAGACCAAAATGTCTTCACTCCACCAAATACATTTACACATATATTCTCTCACTTGATTTCTGCAGATCACCTGAGAGAGCATCCGCCCTTTGTGAGTACTGGATACTTAATCCCCAACCAACATGTCACTATGGGATCTCTCTGAGCTGCAGAGCTCTCCTGTGCTTTCCAGCTCAGCTCAACCTGTGGAAAGCTCCTGGCATTTATAACCCAGGTGGCATGTGCTGCAGATGAAGATGAAGGCATTTCTAAAACAAAGCTCGAGAGCTGAAAGGTCCCTATCTTCATCTCCAACAAGCCAAAATAAAGGTGAGAAAATGGGGTTGCAGGAACAGGGCGTTTCCAGGCAGGAACTCCTCATGGATTGTGTTAGGAAGTCTCAGGTCAGAATAGGCACTGGCTAGAGATTCCCTGCAACTGCTGTGGCAAACTGTGTGCCCAGTACTACTATCAACACACAATTTGACTAAATATGCCATTTTCAACAGATGAAATGATTGCTTGAAATGAAATCCCATGTGCTTGTGTCAATGACCTACAGAACAAGGAAGAGCACTTCAGAACCATTTCTTAACTGCACTAAAAAACTCATATTGTGTAAATGTATCCCATATTCAAAAGTGTTAGGCTAGGACTTGGATTCTAACCTACTGTAAGCTGATGATAACTGATGTGTAGGTTTCATAACCAGATATTAGAAAGCAGATGAAGATTAATTACAAACAAGGAAATGTTTTGATACGTTATTTCTTTATGTATTTCTTACCCATCTTCCAAGACTATAGTAATCTCCATATGGCTTATAGTATAAACGCAATAATTAAGGCTCATTTTAGCATTAAGACGTAATATAGTAACTATGTTTTACAGACCGCAGAACCTTTGGTACACCAGATGTTTTGGACTACAACTCCCACAGTTCTTTATTACTGGCAATACAGGCTGAGGATTCTAGGATTTGTAATCTAAACCAGTGGTCCCCAACCTTGGGCCTCCAGATGTTCTTGAACTTCAACTCCCAGAAATCCTGGCTAGGAGATGTGGTGGTGAAGGCTTCTGGGAGTTGTAGTCCAGGAACATCTGGAGGCCCAAGGTTGGGGACCACTGGTCTAAACCATCTGGAATGTCAAAGGCTCACCATCCCCACCAAGATATTACCAAGGAAAACTGCATCATCATTCACTGCCAAAAATGAAACATACCTGGTGTCTTCACTACGTGGACAACGGCCTTATTGCTTGAGTCAACTGAATATGTATAATAAAACCAGCAGTCATCAATATCCTTCTCTTTGCAATGAGTCAGTGCATCATATTGCCCAGGCTGTGGCAACTTTTCTCTCTGATCTACCAGTACCACGTTAAAATGTGAGCATTCTTCGTCACATCTCTCCTTCTTTTCTCCTTTGTTAAAAGCTTTGCACTGTACGCAGTCCCTATGGCAGGAGAGAGACTTATCATTACTCAAATATTCTCCCACCCAATTTCATTATGAAAAAAAATTAAACAGCAACTTTAATCTTCAAACGAGGTATATTCAGATAAGATTTCCACCATATTTGCCTAATGCTGCAAGTATTTTGCCTCAGACACCTTTTCCTTTTCATTAACAAATTTATCAGGATGCCAGACTAAGCAAGATCAGCAAGAAAGCTCTCACATTGTACTCCCTGAGATTTATTAATTTACTTTCAAGTAAATATGTTTAGAATGCATCTGTAGGAGATGTAATTAACAAAGCAATCCTAAGTGTGGCAGTGAAGAAAGGCACACACTTCTACATCCTCACTGGCTTGTACCAGCTGGGGAAGAGGGACCTGTTCTAACTACTGTACTTGTTTTTGTTTTTAATTCAATTTTCCTCCCATTCAAACTATCCAGCATAGAACCTGGAAGAAAATGAAGTTAGGGAAATGGAAGAAGCTTTAGAACAAAGGCATTCATGGTTACCCATACACTACCCCACTTTGGGTCTCCCCACTCACAGAAACATTGCCAGTACCATGTGTATTCCTGCCAGGGATAGACTGCCCTGCTTGTACAGCTCCTCTTCAGCAAAGTGGCACTGCCATCCCACCTCAGCCCTTGAGCCACTGAAGCGGATGGCACTGCTCTGTATGATCAGTTAGATTCAGACAGCAAATCCTCAACCTTCACTACAGCAATACTATGAAATAAATGTGCAGACCGAGATGTAACTCCTTTCAGTTATTCCAAAAATTTATACTTTGCAACAAAAGAAATTCCAAGGATGTCTCTAATCATAGTAATTTTGAAAACTCAATTCTCCAGTGGTTTCTGGGTAGGGCAGGCTACCTACACTAGGAAACACTGCCCTCCAGACTGCCAGAAATATCTACATAAATAATGACCTTGACTCCCAAGTTCAGACTTCCAGCTTGCAAGCAGCAGGCGTTTGGCATAGCTCATAGTCCTGCAACACCATTTCAATGGTGCTTACACAGCTTTATTCGTTTCCAGGGGGGAAAACGCTTTTGAGATTTGGGATGAGTCTGTTTGCATCCTAACCTCAAAGTATTAAAAAAAAGGTACCACTGAAACCACAACATTCTGAGGCAGATGTGGCCTTCTCTCTGCTGCTGTAGCTTCATGGCCTATCCTTCTCCCATTCCTACAAAGAATAGGAAAGCAAACCTGTACTGAAGAAAGGGAGGGTGAGAAGGAAGAGCAAGACTAAGCAAAATGAGACCCCAACTTTAAGCTTGTATACTAAAACAGGGTCCCTCAAATCCCTCTAAATCAATTTCCAAACATTCTCCTTCTTTTTGGAGCATTGCATTTTCTCAAAAAACAGAAAAAGCCTTTGTTGGTTCATAAGCCATAAAAACTCTTTGAATAAAGAAAACAAAGTACAATGATCTAAGTTAGGTGTGCAATTAACTGAACAATTAACAATCAGCCACTAAAAATATCTCTCTATAGGTTTGTACTGGATGCAGCAGGGATGTATAAGCATATAAAGAAGCCTTACTTGTGCTCTGCACAGACGCCAAGGCAGGTCTGACACAACTCGCATGTGGGTCCCTGAAATTTGGAATCTGTGCAGTTGCAGACTCCACACTCACAGTTTCCTCTGCCATTGCAGATTTGTCCATTTGCAGCTACACATGGGGTCGTATCCAGGGGGCACTCACATGCAGAGCCTGTAAAATTTGCCCAGCACTCACACTCACGACATTTACATTCACCATGCCCTGCATTTCAAGACAAAGAAAAATTTCAACACTGTGGGATTAGGCTCCACGTAATATACAGACAAACATTTTAAGAGTTTCCGGTAAATTAGTATGACAATAATCTCTGTTCTTCTATAAGATAAGCATCTCTCCTTTTGACTACTTCATATCAAACCAATCAGGTATGGATGACAGATGTTCTTTGATGAACAAATAAGCAATGTTAGGCTTCTCTTATGCATGCTAATTTACAATTGGAAATACGCAGTACGGCCACGCTCATGTTTCTTTGCCAAATTATGATGCCACAATGTACTGTGCTGCACAACAAAAAACATAGGTTAATAGTAACTACAGTAGTACCTCGGTTTACGAAATTAATCCGTCATCCGAACCATTACGTAATGTGGAAATTACGTAAACCAGAATGCGGATTGCCATAGCAACGGGGGCAGTACTAGAAAACACCAGGCGTGATGCGTCCTTTTCATACAATGAAAAAATCCCATAAAAAACGAAAACCGAGGCATTATTTCTTACAGATTTCAGCTTGTAAACTGAAAATCACATAAACCAATGTATACGTAAATCAAAGTATGTCCGTATCCCTTAATGTTAGGAATAAAAGTTCCTTTTTTCCAAAAGAGGGCAATTTGGAGGGAACGTTCTGGATCATTATACAGAATACAGTGGTACCCCGCTTGACGACGATAATGGGTTCCAGCAAAATCGCTGTTAAGCGAAATCGTCGTCAAGCGGGGAAAAAATCTCCATTGGAATGCACTGAAAACCGGTCAATGCATTCCAATGGGGGAAATACCTCATCGTCCAGCGAAGATTGCCCATAGGGAACCGCCAATCAGCTGTTCTAATTTGCTGTAATGCGAAGCTTCCGTCCAGAAAGCAGCCATTTTGAAAAGGGAGGGAAGCCATTTTCCGTAGCCAGAAAAATCATTGTTTTGCGAACAAACGGTTTGCGAAGCAAGCTCCTAATCAACTTAAAGCGGATTCCCCCATTGGAACCATTGTTTTGTGATCACAAAAATGTCATTGTCAAGCAATTTCAACGTCATGCAGGATACCACTGTAGCAAGATTTTGTTCTACCCCATATTCTCTATATACTACTTGTATGTGCAAGAAGCTTGTGTTGATTACAGTTTCTAAACAAAACATGAGACAGCTGAAGTAAAAGAAACTACATTAGTATCGCATCCATTCCCAACCTAATCCCTAAATCTCTAGCTTCAGCCTTATCTCCTCATCTCTTGGTAACAAATGAAGTGAGTTACCTCCACAGATCAAACCATCAGATCGGTCACAGTTGAAGTTATCACACTGGCAAAACTGGCCTGAGTAGACTTCGTTTGGATTCTCTCTTTTCTTGCACACACACTGCCCACATATACAGTCTCCATTGTTACTACATATTTCAGAACTGTTTGTTGCTCTACAGGTGCCCGACATGTCTTCACTGTTCACTTCTTCTATGCTGCATTCACACTGTTTGCCAATGCGCCCTGGATTACATCTAGAAGGAAAACCGCCCATATTACTGAAATGTTACACATGGAAAACATGCACGTATTTCTCCACCTTTCTACATTTCAAGAATAAAAACTTCAAAAGAAGTACTAGTGTCTACATACAGGAAACAAGTTCTTTTAAAAAGATGGCATGATACAAGAGTGTTTGTTTGAAAAAGCTGTTCAATGACAGCTCTCAGTGCTTCAAAGGAAGGCATTGGGAGGGGTTGACAGAGAAGATTGGGGAGGCTGCACTAACTATGACAGCCAATTCAAGTAGACAGTTTTGAGTCCTGTCTGCGTTCTTGAACAAAAAAGAAGATATGCAAGTGTTACAAACTTTGTTTTTTAAAAAAATTATAGGGTTTTTCACTTAAAATATTCCCACCATTCCCCAAATAACTATATGAAAATCTAGCTTAAATCAGATCAGGGAGACCAGCTGAACATAATGCACTAAAGTACATAAGCCCAGTAAACATTACTACATATGGAATCAGGATAGACTGCTAAAACAAGTCAGATGAGGAACCATGGAGAAACCACAGCTATTCTTCTTAGCTTCCTAAGACAGCCTGGCTGGGTTGGAAGAAATAGCTCTCCACTATATGTCACAATCAAGAAAGAAGCACTGTAATACCTTCTGTTCCAAATACAGCAATTATGGTTGCTGTGGCATTGACCCTTTCACAGCTTCAGAATATTTAACTGGGTGAAATTTTATTGCTTATCACACTAAGTCACACTAGTGTAGGTCCAGTGAACCATTTGGTAAGTCAGCTTTCCCATATGTTCTATTGATTTAAATGGGCCCACTTTAGTTCCAACTTACTATGCTAAGCAACAGGATTTCAGCCACTGTCTACCAATATTAGAAGTTACTGTCCTCATATAAACTTGCCAGCAACCACACAAACATGAATATACAAAACTGAATGTATCTCAGATAATCGTACCTTAAAAAGCTTTAGCAATGTTTTCTTTTCAATGTAAAATTACTGCAACACTCAAGTTGAATCATGGCAACTGGACTTCTTACTAGGTTGAAACATTTTGCTATTCATCCAAGTAGCTTCTTCAGTCTGAAGAAAGATGTCCAGCTGCCATGACTCAACTTCCAGATAACCTCACCTGGATAACAGAGAATCAGATATACTGCAACACTAATGTGGATTTTAAAGGTAAGGTACATGTAGCAATGAAGGTGCAGATTGACTTCCACAACATGTTTTTGGGCCTTGTTTTCCATAAGCTGGCTAGACAGCTCAGTGGTTTTAGGTATACGGCTGTGGTGCCAAACGTTGGGAATTGTTCTTTCTGTGAGTAGATCCATCCTGCATGGCCTTGGGCAAACTGCACAGTTCCAGGGTGCCCCCAGAAGAAGAGAATGGTATATTACTTCTGAGTATTTTCTACTAGAAAAGCCTGGGTCACATAAATAGGAATTGACTTGACACAATTATTACTACTTACACCATGATGAAATAAACATTATTTCACTTTTCTCTTTGAGGGAAAACACAACAAAGTTAATATTTACGTACCTGCAGGCACCACACTCAAATGTTCCATTTCCATAGTGACAGAGGTCGCTGTCAGTTATCCCTTCTAAATGACAGTCACATTCACAGATAAACTCCAGATTAATCTCTACCTCCTCAGTGAAACCTAATGGCTTGATTTTAATGGTTTCACTCTGCCCCTTTTCTGGACACTGGTTGGCTGTTACTTTAATCTCAAACCTAACCTGTAAGCAAAGTAATAATATAAACAATGCTCAGGTACAGTTTTGACAGTATAAAAAACAACAACAAAAGAATAGATACTTTATACAGTATCACATTGCACATAAACAAGCCTTGATATGTTCCGAAAGAAATCCAACACACACATAAGGTTCTATCATACAAAATGGTACCTCATCTCCAATTGAAATGTTGGAACACTTTCTTCCTTCATCTCCTGTTCCATTCACTCCATTCTTGCAGAAGGATTTATATTCAATGGAGACTTCTTTTGGCAGCTTGTTGTTTTCCAAAATAACTTCTGAAGATAATGACTAAAACAGAGAGGTTCAGCAGTTTAATCGAATAATAAAGTAGGGTATTAAGAGGGGCTTAATAAATTCTGTAAAAAATGTGCATTTCTTCTGAAATAGCTCTAAACCACCACTCTATCCACATATCTTGGTTATTTACACAGCGGACTTCAAGCCTGTGCTACAGGTTTCCTACAAGATTCACACAACCAATGTTGCTGCAACTTATAAAATTGAAGCACAAGCTACTGCTTAAGTCAGTGCTGGTTTCACTCTCTTCCAGGAAAACACACACGGGGATACATAGGAACATGCGAAACAAAAGGTGTTCATTTCTTAAAATTTTGTATTGTTGTGGGGGGTTCGACTTCTCACAACCCTTGCCTATTAAAGCCCCTCTGCTATGAAGTGTTATGCTTTTTCTCTTCAAATAGAAAGAAATTTCAAACTTCAACTTCCTAAAATCAAACTAAATATATAATGAAAAAAATTCAAAGAAGCACATTCAGATTGGAAAGATCACGTGAGAGCAATAGTAGAGGTCTTTACTCAGTACAGATCAAGAGACCAATTGAGAAGCTAGGTTGGCTTTTGTCATTCCATTGTCAGGCAAAGGTCTTCCGTTAAATGGAGGTGGTGGGATTAGGAGTGATATATTCATTGAGTTTAGAGGTTTTAAAAATGTTTTCAAAGTGTATTTAAATGATAAGAAAAATAATAATCTCAGAACTGCAGAACAAGAAGTTAAAATTGTTTTCAATTGCAGTTTTAATATTGTAATAACATTTTTAACATATTGTTTCTTATGGTGACAACCATATAAGTTTAATTGATCACGAGCTGCCTTATGTCTCCTATGAGGAGAAACACTACATATGAATTAAAAAAAAAAAACAGTGGAACACACAGATCTTCTAGTACTGCTCCTGACCTCTACTGCTGGTTAATGTCCTTAACCTCTAGGTGATCATTAACTACAGCTGCAATATTTATTAATTTTCTATACCTTTCATCTTAAAAAGGCTATACATTCAACAAAGGGTAAAGTCATGCTTCGTGTGATACCTTATTAACAAATTAGTAGAGGTAATCTCCTTTAAAAGGCTTTTGCAAAAGCTCAATAAAGGACAGGTTTCTTAGAGAATATCACTATTTGAGAGTGCTGTTCCTGTTTACCAGAATCACAGAATTTAGCAGTAATTCTGCCAATAACTATTAAATAAATAATTCATTTAGGGACCATGTGCTGATTTTCAACCTATAATCTCAGCCTCCTCAACTAAAAATATCCTTAGGTGTAAGCCTGTTCTATTGCATTTAATGATAGCACTGAAGTTCTATGCGTAGCTGTGTCCTTTGCGAAAACCTATGCTCAGGAGGTGGGGGAGAAGGAAGAGAAAGCTTCTCACTGAAATTGACTTACATTGTATGCATCTATAATCAGCTGAATCACATTACTGGAATTGGAAGACAGTGTTCCTACTGCAGATTTTGGAATCAGATTCTTCAACTCCTTTACATATGAAAAATGAAAACAATAATAGGTTAAAACTGTCATTGGAACACACATTGATCAGAAATATTGTATTACAGCACAAATGCTCTCAAAAGAGCAGTACTTACTTCTAGTTGTAGAATATCTAAAGAGGCCATTAAATAGTTTCCATTGCTACAAATGACAGCTTCCCTCATTTAATTACTGTTCCATTGCTACAAATGACAGCTTCCCTCAATCAATTATATTCAAATACTACATAGGATAAACAGAAGTACTATTTATATGGGACTACACTGGAGAAATACACTGATGGTTGTTAACAAGCACTTTTGTATTAAAAGAGCAGAGTTTTACTATACTGCCTTGAATTTCTTTGAACAAGCTGAATGTAAGATTGCAACAGAGTAAATCTTTCCCTTGAACTGCACGGGTCTGAACAGTATGGTTTTGCTTACACATTGATTTTTTTCTTCAATAAATATTTCAACAAATAAATTTTCAATAAATGACTAATCAGTAAATACCCTGGCCATCCAGAACCCCAGGAGTTCAATTACAAAGTGATCTACTTGCCCCCAAACACAACAACTCTAATTCAGTTTCAAAATCAAGGGGGGCAACCCCAAACACAACAGCTCTAATTCAGTTTCGAAATCAAGGGGGTCAAAAGACTCATTCCACATGGTACTGTATGGAAATGATTGTCAATGCTACAGAAGAGAACTTCGATACTCTGTGTTCTGTTTATACTTTGTAGTTGTTTTTGTCAATGCTACAGAAGAGAACTTCGATAGAGAAATCTACTCTGTGTGTTCTAACTGTTTATACTTTGTAGTTGTTTGGGGGAGCATAAAAGTAATACATGGATTTTTAACTACACAGGGGTCTGGTGCCCTAAACCCATTGTTGTCAAAGGAGAAGTGTATGAAGTGTATGACACATGCAGATAAAAGGTTATGTTACTTGACCTTTACCTTGTAAACTGGCTGAAATTCTTGTGTGACAGCAAATATTATCTGAATATTATTGTCACTTAGCTTCTGAACAAGATGAGCAATGGAGGGATAATCCTGAAGAATTAAGTTTAGATCATTAAAAAACATAGGTAATGTACACATTTGAATTTCACACAAACAATGCCATCTCTACTTGTGCAAGAAAAAATGTCACTCAAACACACAACCCTTAAAAAATTAAATAAGGAATTCAACTTATTTTCTGTCACTTCTAACTTTAAAATGCTTCTTTAATGTTCACAATATAAAGCTGTCAGTAGAGAGGATCAATAAAAAATTGTTTAGTTGTGCTTTAAAGCAAAAGCAACTCCCTAACTCTTACTGACACATACCTCTAATTTTCCTTCATTTCTTTATTCACATAAAAAGATAAATTATTTGTATTTCTTGGTTTCTAGCTGGACTTACCAAAAGAATTTCAGGAAAGCAAGATTACACAGAACACCTTATATTTTTGACTCTAGGAGTCGTCTAAAAAACACAGTTAAAAACCAATACTCTTCCTTCATTCAAGAAAAAAAAACATGAAAACTATTCTTACTACAATCAAAGTATATATGGATTTAACATAATAAAAGGGGTGCTAATAGGTAAGTCCTTGCAAATGTGGTATCTTAATTTCTTAATATTCAACAAATCTGCATTCCTACTTAAGCTTTCCCACGAGTCTTCTTCATGAGGTGCTTATTCTACACAGAAGTGGTCGCTACTTGGTTTCCACAGCTGCTTATCCTTCTACAAGCAGAGATCTCCAGAACTTACTGGACTGCAACTGTTGTCATTCCTCACCTCTGGCTATCTTGTCAAGCACTGATGCGAACTGCTGTCCAACAACATTGGTTGGGCCACACTTTGCCCACTATAGTTTGTAATAAGCACTAGATTATGAATTCAAAATTTTAATTTCAATTTTTTTAACAAAACACACTGGGATATAGTATATACCTTTAAATAATCTGTTGCACATACTTACATAGTAATGGCTCATTGTGTACATATTATTATCTAAGTGGCATTGCCCATCATTTGGTAAAACAATTCCTCCCAGCTTCCCATCTCCAGCAAAATGAAATCCAGCATCCGTGGAAAACACCAACAGCCGAGTGACATTTCTCCATCCAATTTTTGCCTTAGGGAGAAGAAAAACTTTATCACATCTGTGAGGGTTTTTTCCCCTTTAAGATGTACTGACCAAAATCCAGCAGCCAAAAACCACATGCATAAAGGCAGTCCTCGAGTTATTATCACATTTCGCTGTCTGTGAAACCAGGGGAAAACTGGGTGTGCAACAGAAAAACCACATACATAGCATTGCCTGTTCACTTACCCTTATACGATTGTGTGGCCAGTATATATAATTAAAGAATATGAACTAAAAAGAAATGATCGGGATCCCCATCTATCTTTAGCAGGTCTGTTTGTCTCCTACCAGTGTCACAAATTTACTTGTAGACATGGCAGTAGCTTCCAGGAGTATTTGAATGACTTAAAACAGTAATACAGAAAGAAGCTACTGTGCAAATACTCTGAGATTCCTACTGGAGTCTGATTCAAGATGCACGGAGAAATGACCATGCAACCTTTGCAGCAAAACACTTTCTGACAGAGAAAGTTTCAGTGTAAGAGAACAAAGAAATGGGGGGGGGGGATTCTTCCTAGCTTTCACATGCTTGTCTAAAGCCATCTGTCAATTGCTATTTTTATACTAACAATAGCTACTGTGCTGCTTTCATATTCAAAATTACTGTCTTGTTCTAAGGTATTGTTCAATATCTTCACCTAACTGTGCCTCTGAGAAGATAAAACATATTGCCTGAAATCACACTGTTATTAGTTAAAACAACAGGTTGTAGACTATTAAACTGTACTGGGGTAGGAGACCTTTGCTTATTCAGGTAGTTTAGCCTTCAATTCCCATGAATCCCACTCAACATGATTCAAGAAAGAGACTGGGGAATCTGTACTTCAAAGCACTCAGAGGGCCAAAGGTTCCTACCCAAGCCAGACCTTAAGGAAAAGAATATACAAGTTACAAATTAATCTGTCAACCCTTTGAAGGGGCAGGCAGAGAAAGCTTTTACAGGCATCTTTAAAAAATGAAAAAATTAAGCTGTGCTTAATATCACCTACGCTAAATATCTAGCCGCCTAGAGAGATGGGAAGGGTATAAATTAAATAAATAAATAAATTTTTAAAAAAGGGGGGGGGAGACAGATCCTATACATACTTACTCAGACGATAACTCCATTAAATAAATAAATAAATAAAGGGGGGGGGAGAGACAGATCCTATACATACTTACGCAGACGATAACTCCACTGTGAATTTAAATGGACACAAGGAAAAGAAGGTTCTTAATGATGCAATGGACAATTAACGCATTGAGATAATATAAACAGCTCATGCAAAGTACTCTTTTAAAATTATGCTGGTTCTGTAGGGCTTATGAACTCTTCCCTCAGTTCTCTAAAAATCCTGTTATCATTAATGGTTATGTCTTTCTTTTAAATTAAAACAAAGACTGCCATTTCTTTAAATATCAGTTCTTCCAAAAGAGAGACTCTTCTTCTTTTTTATAGTTAATAAAGACAACAGCCAAACTGTAAATATTTCTCCTTATAATCTTCATTAGTAGAAGGTATATAGGAGGGTCTTAAATATTCTTCGCTCGAATCTTCCAGAAAATAGCAACCCTTTCTCTTTCACTCCATTCTCATTTTTATTTTTGGATTAATTTTACATAAGATTGATATTCAGCTGGCAATTGGAAAGAATGAAGAAGAAGAGTCATAGCTCAGTTCAGTAGTAGAGCACATGCATCACATACAGAAGGTCTTAAGATCAAGCCCCAACATCTTCAATTGAAAGGACCAGATAACATGCCAGGTGAAAGCTACCAGTCAGAACAAACAGTATTGGACTTGATGAATCAAGGTTTTAATAATGCAGTAGCTTCATATGCTCATGCCAGTGACACTAAAAGCACTGGCTTTTTTAAAAAAAATTCTCTTATGGAGTAGTTTAAATTGACGGTTTAAAGAATGCCTACTAGCTTTATTTCTAATTTTTCCACTTTTTAAACTATTGCAGCCTATGAATAAACCATATACTGTATACTTGCAATGTCTGCATAGAAGTAACCCAGCCATTAGTCTCAATGAGTTGAACACTTCAGGTGGGCAGCAGGTCTGCCATTATCCTCCACTTTGGCAAGGGCCCTGATGCTCCTCACTGATGTTGTGTCCTAGAGCAGCTGCTTCCTCACTGCCTGACTCCGAGAGACCTCAAATCAGGTCCTATGGAAAAAGTGACTAGGAAAACTGCCTGTGCTGCAGTGCAGAACTCTCAGAGATAGGTCTTAAAGAAGCAGGCAGTTTAACACAGCAAGGTCTGATAAACGGGCTGCAACTAGCATCACATCGTCTTCCTTCAGGAAGTCCTCCTCCTGGCAGCACTGCCATTTTGTTCCTTCAGGGTCATTAGGAAGTGAAAGAACTTGGACCAGCCTCATGTTCACTGTAATTCCTTCAAGTTTTTATTTCAACATCTGCCTTCTGTTTGCTATATCATTACTTTTAATTTTTACTGTGTTATGGCTTGTGGCACTGTAAGTACAAGAAAAATATACTTTTGTCGGCACATTTAACCATGAAGATTAATTTAATCCATTGAAGGGTAAGACATATACTTAATTCTGAAAGACAACTATTAGAATACAAGTGAATTTCATATATAATAACAACCAAAATGAATGAGAATACACTTACACCACAAACAGCAACCTGCATGATTGCATCAAATCCACCTTCTGGAGAATCCAAGTTACCCGAAATCTGTTGATCACCTACAAGTTTATTGAACAGACTTCCATCGCTGGTAAAGTTGAGTACATTTTTGTAGCTAAAAGGACTTGTACAGTTGAGGTCACCTGTACAAGGGTTCCTGAGTTTGGCAGGTGTGGTACTAATGTAAGGCATTACAGTTTTTTCTACAAAAGAGCCAAAACCTAAGATAATGGAACAAAGAAAATGGAATAAAAGTATCTGGTTCCATGTTTTTAGTGCTACAAAAAGCCCTATACAGATGCAGACAAGTTCCTAACTAGACGTCCAACTCTTCAAAGTAATTCTCCTTTCAATCTAGAAACCATTTGGGCAACCAGGAGAGACCTATCCAAGGAGGTATCAAGGAAGAAGGAAGTTTCAAAGGAACAGTGGCCACTTAAGGTCTTCTTCTCAGATATGTACCCCTGAAAACTAAAGAGATTTGGTTGCTCCATGGGTTTGAGATTTTTGTGCAGTACTGAAGGAATATGTATTCTTTATGTGTTTTAAAAGTATGCAACCACATAGTGTAATTCCTTATTAAAACACAAATTCTCCTATAGCTATAACACCCTGTTTCTCTCCCAGTGATTTTCTATAGGCTGTATTCAACACCCAGCACAAATTTAATGTTTGCAAAATCCATGCACAGCCCTGATTAAATTCATGTGAGCATGCTATGCAGAAATTTGGAAAAAGTAGCCATTTTCTGCACGATAGGAGAATCACTATGACAGACCATCTATACCCTCTACTGACTTTGCTAATATAACATCCTCAGGTATCTCACTTTTGCTTTGTTCACCTTTAATTCAGAATTTGTACGACGTTGTTAAAGAAATAGAACTTCTTTCTGGATCACAGATTCCTTTATTCCTACAGCAAATGAGCTGTCATGTCCGAGCTGACTTACAATAACCCTAACAAGGCTCTAAAAGAAAATGAGATATTTAAGAGATTTACCAGTCCCATGCCTCCAGTAAGTTTCTACAGCCAAGTGGGGATTTGAACCCTAGTCATTAGAGTCCAAATCTGTCTAATCATGCTTGCATTTATGATCACATGCACATTATCCTATACAGATCTTTTTTTAATTAAAATTACTCTGATCACTAGAAGCAAAATACCTACCAATTCGGAAATCTGAAGTTATATTCTTCATTTTACTCATTAAAGAAGTCCCAAGGCTTTTCACATTCTCCAAATCATCTTTCATAGAGTAAGAGAGATCCATAAGGTAATAAAGGTCAATAGGATAATCTTCAGCTCTCTTAAATTTTAAGGAAAATGTCTGTGGTTCCCCTAATATTTGAGATGGGGAATAAAAGATACTTAATGTAAGATTCACCAATTAAATTTATAAAAAATAAGACAGTAATACAAATCTGCTCAAAGTAAAAACAAAATACAAAAAAAGCTTGCTACTGAACCTTCCCTTTGTATTTTCAGACTGAAATGTGGAAAGCGAATTCTTTCTGCAACTACCTCAGAAAGATCATTTGCACATAAAGACACAAAAGCTCCCACCAAGACGGCTGTTTCGGACACCCAGATCTAAACATATTCAGACATATCTACACTACACTGTTTGACAGGAAATTTACTATAGGTGTGGAGACTCACTGAACACAGTGATTGCATAATGTATAAAATTAAAAACAATAGCACAGGATGATCAATATTCACTACTGGCAAGTAATACTTGTCCTTGCTTTGCAAACTGGTTTCTGCTAAGAACTTTCCTTACGAACCACAAATCCTAACAAAATTATTTTCTAGTGTTTTCCCTAAATATTTTTTTTAACTGAACAACCTCAGGCAGGGGAGTTCTGCTGTGCTTAGTTTCCACTGATTGAATCATCTTATAATAGTACATAATTTCCACCTGCCCCATAACTGTACCAGGTAGGCCTGTTACTTAAAACTGAGTTTTCTCAATGGCAAATTTCAGTAAACTTGAGTTGGATGTAGACCCGATTTGTATTTTGTCTTTGGACACAGAGAAAGCTCTGCAATCCAGCAGAAGCTTCTGTGAATTACAGGGGTGGGTCAATCCTCAGTAACTCCTGCTTCTTCTTCATCATCTTAGAAGTTCAGATCTGGAAACCACCCCATGGATCATCTAGTACTAACCCTGTCAAGCAGGCACAGTAGGGAATCAAACTCCCAATCTTTGGCTCTGCAGCCAAAGACCTAAACCACTGATCTATCCTGCAATTCTTACTTCTTCTGGTAGCTATCCGCACAGACCAACACCTGCACAAAAAGATTACTAGAAACAGCACAGAAGGCAGCATTTGGAGTGGGGCTTGCAAGATCTGTGGAAGCCTTTACTGTTTTGAAATATTCTGTCTGAAGAGTGAGACACTACTGATTACAAATTAAATTATATTAATTATGGGTTTAGTTATGCGTATACTGCAAGGAAAAAAGTATATTTTAAATAAAACTGCAAATAGATGACAATGTGAAAATACTATAAAATCCTTATACGTTCAGTTTTGTTGTAAGTTAATTATAGCATAACAGAGGAAACACAAATGGTGCTGTGGAAATGGCTTAACATATAGATCAGGTCACATTTTTAAGAAGTATCAGTCACTGACTTACTGGGTTTTCCAACAGAAAAATCTGCATTGGTGGGAGGATACAAAATGTCTTTTAACTGGGACCAACTAAAATACTACAAAAATGTGCAAGCTTTCAAATTTTCCCCTATACTCTGAGCTATCTTCATGTATTTTCGTGCAAACACAGGGCAACCTGGGGGAGGGGATTATGACATGTCCTGCAGTTTATCTCTTTTAAACTGTAACTCAGAAATCTTTTGTTTTCCACCATTCTGACCATGAAAAGGGAAATGGCACAATTTTTCCTCAACAGGATTATTGCTAATCTAGAAATGTAGCTGAAAATCAAATTCTAACCACCTCTGTTAAGGTTATGTCCTTGCTCCCTGTCGAACAATGCTAGCAATCTCCTATCCACCTAAGATATATTTAGCTTAGAATATCTTGAGCCTTACATGCAGAAGATGAGGAATGGTTGTAGTAGGTTTTTCGGGCTGTTTGGCCATTTTCTGGAGGTTTTTCTTCCTAACGTTTCGCCAGTCTCTGTGGCTGGAATCTTCAGAGGACAGGAGTTACAACTCTGTGTTCTGATGTAATGTGTGGGATAGCTGAGTATTTGTAGCTGTGGGATCAGCTTTTTGTCCTTTTCAGGTGATTGGGTGATTATGGTGATCAGGGTGCTTTTTTGTTTGTTTGTTATGGGTGTATTGTTGTGATAAGGGAGGAGATGATCTGTCACTGTGATTGATGGGTGCTGTTAGCTAGTCTTTTGTATGCAGTGATCCCTGGTCGTTGTGGCTGGGTAGAGTTTGTTGACCTTTTTGCAGGCCGTATTTTTCAGCGCTAGGAGCCAGGCTTTGTTGAGTTTCAGACTTTCTTCTTTTTTGTTTAGAAAAAGTCAGCCACTGACTTTGAATAATATATGGGAAATAATACCGAGTAGAAATGAACAGATAGGTTTAAAGAGCTCACAACATTATACAGTGGTGCCTCGCTTAGCAATTGCTTCGTTTAACGATGTAATTGCTTAACAATTAGTTTTCCGGAGCAATCTTGCGCTCCATTTAACGATGTTTCCTATTGGTGATTTTCTCATAGCAATGTTTGGGACCTTGCTTCACACAGCGATGACAGTTTGGGTCCACCTGTTTCGCTTAACGATGGTTTTGACAGCCTCGTGTTGGCTGTCTTTTAAAAGTTTTAAAATGTTTAAAAAAGGTTTAGAATGCTTAAAATCATAAGTGCACTTAATAAACCCTCAGTTAAACTACCGTAATTTGACTTTGTTCTGACTCTTTTTGAATTTGCTGTAATTTCCCCCCCATTGAAATACATTTGGTGAAC